CAATGGTGAGAATGTAGATCCTCAACTTTAACTTGGTGTTTACTTGCTCAATTCCTCCCCTTCCTCTTCCCGGTCCCCCAACTCCAGTTCTTCTCCATCTTTTCCTGTTGTGTGGATGACAGTGCTCTTTGCCACTGCTAGGAGGATGTCTCCACCCCTAAAGGGGCCCCGAAAGTCCTGAACTATGACTTCAGGGTCTAGGAATCCACAGGCAGGACCTGGGAGCTGCTGTCATCCATTCATTCATTTCTTCCTTCCATTTTTCTTTCTGCATTGTATGCATGCTATGTGCTAGGTCCCAGACTCTCAGGACATGGAACTTGTCAACCAGGAGACCCAGGTCTATGGAGAGATGGGCATGCAAACTCTTATCATATAGAAAAGAATTGTTCCCATAGGGCCACGTGACGTAGACTCTGACTGTGTGTTTGATGGCTCCATGTGGATCCTGTCACACTTATACTTTCCCTGCTGCCACTGCAAGACCCACCACCTCCTCTCTCACAAACTCATAACTAGTTTCAGTGCCTCTCTGTCCCCTGCCCTTCAAATCCAATCCACCCCAGGGTCTGTTAACCATATCTCTGCCAGCTTTACAATATTCTCTTCCAGTACTGCTGGCCCCTGTCCATGTTCTAGGTACAGCCTAAAGGTCGAGGTGGGAACCTCCTGGCTCCTTCCTTTCCTCTCACAAGGCCCTGGAGACCAGGCATGGAGCATCAGTGTCCCATCCTGTCGAGCCATGCAGTACAGTGACCTTGCTCACGTTCCCTCCCTGCTGTGGCCAGCGTCCTCCTCCTCAAATAAACTGTCCAGAAATCTTCAAGTGTTGTTTTGTTCAGAGTAAAGAAAAGTCCAGCCTGGTTTGACCTTCGAGACTGTAGTACCAGCTAGCCCCCATCTGCCTTCCCAACCTTATTTTCCACTCTTCGCCTTTCCTTCCCCTGCTCCAAGCTTTAGCTAAACTAGGTAAACACTTCTTGCAGCTTCTGCAGTTGAGAATATTCTGCTGCTCAGAATATTCCCATAGATGGAATTCTTCCCTACTCCTGCAGGACCAGCTTGTGAATCTCCACTTTCAGGAAGCCCTTCCTGACGCTCCACTTAAGACATGGTTTCTCTCCTCCTTTGATTCGTCTCTTATGAGCCCAGTCTGGCCCCCCTGGCATAATTGCAGCTTATTAAATGCACACCTCTCCTACAGGGTTGCCAGGACCCTGCTTCGTCTTTTTGTCTTCTCTTTGGCACAAGGTTGCAGGCCAGATCCACTGGTGCTTAATAAATATTTATTGGGTGAATGAATGAATAGTAAGTGTTGGTAACACACTGGTTGCTATATATGTGTCTTACTCTGGATTTGTTTTTCTCTCCCCTGTGTCCCAACGGGAGTCCCTCTCAGCTTTCAATCTGATCACCCTTCTGGACCCATTCCCTGCTCTTGCCTCTCTCTTACAGGTAGAACAAGCAAGAGGCTGGCCTGACCTTGAGTGACCTCTCTCCTCCCCTCTCTAAACGCAGGCACAGAAGAGGAACTGGAGGAGCTGTGTGAACAGGCCGTGTGAGATATTCAGTCCTGGCTCCAACCAAGAGTGCTCGCCGGATGACTTGGGGCCCTCCCTGCCACAGAGTCCTGCTCCTCAGAAAAGAAAGGACTTCAGAAAACACCCCCACCCCCTTTTTTTTGCCATATTCCTGGAACCACTGGCAGAGGGTGGTGATGGTGGGTGGCAGGTGTCCTCTCCTGCTCCCAGCTCCAGCCCTTGTCTGCAGAACTATCTGTGTCCAGCCAGGCAACCAGCTACCACTGGTGTGGGTGGGCTCCTTTGCAGGCTGTGCTTTTCTGAGAGCAGGAAGCTAGGCACAGGTAGACAGGTGTGATAAAGGTGGTGCTCCTTCCCCAGCCTGAGGACTTCTCCTTCATCCCAGGCCTCATGTTCATACCAGCAAATGGGTTCAGCTGAATGAATGAACCCTGCTTACCTCCTTCCTGAAGACAGTCTTGCACACCAGCTTTGGCTTCCCCTCAGTAAGGCTGCTGTATCAATGGCAAACCCGGTTCTTATCATTTTCCTTCTTTGCCAAAAGATGATGGGCTTTGCAGCCTCACCAGGCATGGCCTGCCCTGGTGCACAAGAGGAGTTTTCCCTCCTTGTCCGTACTTGTCAGCTCCTCTGTATTCAGTCCGAGGAGAGGCCAGGGTGTGCAGTCCCTGAGAACCTGGGGTGAAGCCTCTAATCTTCAGGCTCCCTGGTCATTCCAGCAGCCCCAGTCCCTCTGGGGGAGAGTGGTGGGGGTAGTGGGAAGGGACTCATTCTTTCTTGGAGATCACTTAGCTGAAAATCCCAAAGGAAGTGGAAGAAGAGGATTTCTGCTGGACTTTATTTAGGAAGAGGGAGGAAGGGATGAAGGTAGAAAAGGCTGAATTACAGCTGAACAAAGAATTTTTCTCTCGACATTTCCTCTCGGAGCAGGGATAGGGAGCAGGGGAGAACACAGGAGGAGCAGTTTGGGGCCCTTGGATTAGATGGCCCGGAGGCCCAGCTTCCCAGTATAAGCCACGCAGGTCAGATTCACACAGTGTGGAGCGGGGTCAGAGAAGGAAGTCTGGCCTGGGGCAGCTGGTCCCAAGTGGGCAAGAGCTGAGGGGCCTCCTCCGGGCAACGTTCGCCCTAGGGCAGCTGGACCATTGCTGGCCCCCTCAGGCGTTATCCCATTTGGAATGTGAATGCAGGAACAGAGTGGGCGCAGCACCCCACCTGGGGATCCTCTTCCCTCAGAGTCAGTGGGGAACTAGCACCTAGGCACCCACGTGGGTATTTATATCTGAACAGGCAGAAAGACGCTTGAATCAGGCACTATGATGAGAAATGTATTTATTTGCTAATATATTTATCCATAAACTTGATCTGGTCTCATGGTTTTCTTCTGTCATGACTGTCGCTCAGGGTAACAACTTCGTCTTCTACATGGGGAAAAATACTCTTGACATCAGAGGTTAGGCTCTGATTTATGAAAGGACAGAGTAGTGTGGTGGGCTTGGCAACGAGAACTGGCTGGTAAGCCCCTGAAAGCACTGTTTAGTGAGATCAGGGAAAGAGAAAGTGTGACTGGATTCTCCTTGTGGTTCACTGTGTCATTTGTACTATTACTGTATGTTTACTTCACACTCTATAATGCTTCAAGGACTTTGAGACCCTGCAAAACACTGTTGCCTCACTTTTCCACCCATGAAATGGGCCCACTTCACAGAGTTGTTGGAGAGCTCCCCTGAGACAAACAGGGTGACGTGTGTTTCAAAGTATAGAGTATGCAGTGATAAAGAACATCCTAACCCCAGGCCCAGCACTCATCTGAACACAACATGGGACGGGGCCCAGGCGCAGACCGGCCTTGAAGAAGCTCCGTTTCAATTCAGGAGGCCTGGTTGGGAAGATACAACAGCAGGGCCTGAAACCATCTATATCCCACAGTTCCAGTCTAGATAAACACGTTCTCTGCCTACTCGTGGGACTACCGTGAAGCTCAAGGGAGCTGGTGCTACGTGGGTATGGAGAATTCCATAGAGCCTGCAGGGGCTTATCCTCTTCTCACAAAAAGCGTTTTCCCTTCCTGCTTCTTCGGCAAAGGTTTGGTAGAGGTGGGGGCTGTCTGGTGCCAGTTTTGAACCAGACAACGAAGCATTTGTAAATCTTCCTATAGGGTGCAAAATAAAAAGGACACGATCTCCTACAGACCATCTGAAGTAGAGGAACTGGATCTAAACGCTAAAAGCTGCACAAAGCGTAAATTATCAGTTGGAATGAGGAAAATTACATAAAGAGTTTTTAGAAATAACAACGCTTTTTTTTTTTTTTTTCGGAAGTCGGCTCACAAACCTGCATTCCTGTGGAAGCAAAGGGAAACCCGATCACTCGCAGGTAGGAAACCCAATCACGCTCTGGCCTGTAGGAAACCCAATCACTCGCCGGTAGGAAACCCAATCACGCTCTTGCTGGTAGGAGGAGGGGGGCGGTCCGTGGACTTCTCAGCTCCGCTGAGATAATCCAGAGGGAGACAGTGGGCTCTCTGGCCCTCACTCTTAAAACAGGAAGACAAAAAAAAAAAAAAAGACAGGAAGACAAAAAACACCTCTGGTGTCATCCGAGACCCTCCCGGGGACCAGCGGTCCAGGACAGACCTTCCGGCCCGCGGCGTGCTCCTGCGCAGGCGCCAACCGTGTCGCCCAGCCGCTCGGGCCCCGCCCACACGCTTGACGGCGGCGCAGTCTCGCCCCCGCGCCGACCCAGGTGCCTCTCGGCTGGCCCCGCCTCCTGGCGGGAGAAACCATATCAAAGGCGGGGGGCGGGGCGGGGCCGCCGCGCCGGAAGGGGAAGTCTGAGGCAGAGGAAGTGCAGGCATTCTGGGTAAGTTTTACTATTTATCCGTAGGGGAGAGTCGATTGTGGCTCATTCCTTCGTTGCTCTTCGTTGCGAGAGGATGGCCTTGGAGACGGTGCCGAAGGATCTGCGGCATCTGCGGGCGTGTCTGCTGTGTTCGCTGGTCAAGGTGTCTGTCGGGGACCTGGTTGTACGGGCTCAACGAGAGACCAAGCTGGGGGAAAGAGGGTGGAATAGATCTGCGGGAACAATGAAAAAGAAAGTCGGATCCAGGACTCGGAGCGGTGGCAGAGTGTGGGAAGGAGCAGGAGGCCATCGTTTACTTCAGCAGGGACACTGCTAGGTTGTGAAGCCGTGGGCAGGGGGCTCTCACATGCCTTTGCAACTTCAGCTTTCAGCAGAGGCATAACTATAACAAGAAAAGGGGTGTGAGAGTGGAACTTAGGAAAGGAGCTGTAGGAATGGTGGGTGGGGGACATGATGAGACAGCCAACATAGGGAGCTTTGTGCTTCACTAAGTAGAAGTATGGAAAAGCTGTTTTTTCTTTGGCTCACCTTTCTCCTTTTTTTTCCCTCTCCCAAGACTATAGACCAGTTTGAATATGATGGCTGTGACAATTGTGATGCATACCTTCAGATGAAGGGTAACCGAGAGATGGTATATGACTGCACCAGCTCTTCTTTTGATGGGTGAGCCCTTTGGATTGCTTCATTCATTCTTTATATTACCCCAACCCCACCAAGTAAATTTGGACAGACTTTTGAGACTCTAATATGAGTTGGTCTGTTATTTTGAGACACACTAGTGCTGTGCTGTCCAGTACATTTTGAACATACTGGGTTAAGGGAACTATATTACTGAAGTTAATTTACTTTTTGTCGTTACTCCTTTAACATGGCTATAGAAAATTGAAAAATGAATTGTGTGGCTTTCATTATATTTTCACTGGACAGTTCTTCACTAGACTATTAGGGAATTTCTGGTAGGGATTGTATTTGTCTCGTGCACCATCACCTGGCATAGGGTCTTAATACATGTTTATTAAATGCAGGAGGGTCATTTTTGAAAATGAAGGGTAAATTTTGGCTCCAAAGCTGATACCTTTAGATGTGTCTAAGAGGACCTATGAGAAAAGTTTTCACTTAGTGAGATTGTCAGTGGGGGCAGGGGAATGAGAGAAACCTAAGTAGGATGGGTCTCAGTTTTCTTTCCCCAAGGGAGGAGCCAGGAGGCAGTATTCTTTGGTGGTTAAGTTGGTACTATTAAGTTTCTTTTGGTCTCTAGGCCAATGAACAGTTTATACATAAACTGGGCCCAAACCAGTGCTTGGCTAAAACTACTTCAAGGTGGGCCCACTTCATTCTTCTTTGTTTTCCTTTAAGGGAGAGTGAAGGATTGGGCAGAGAAGATGTTTCACGGAACCTTTACTTTGTACATGTGTACACATGCATGTACACGCTCAGATACTCCAGTTCTTTCCTTCGTTTGTTAGCACATCTTCTCATTTCTCCTCCTCCCAGTCCCTGGCAACCACCGTTTAACTTTCCTGTGAGTTTGATTACTGTAGGTACTTCATATAAGTGGAATCATACAATATTTGTCCTTTTGTGATTTGCTTATTTCATGCAGCATAATGTCTTCAAGGTTTATCCACATTGTAGCATGTGTCAGAATTTCCTTTTTAAGTGTAATGTTATCTCTTTCTATGTATATACCAAATTTTAATTATCTGTGCATCTATCCATGGACACTTAGATTGCTTCTACTTTTTGGCTGTTAGGAATAATGCTGCCATGAATATGGGTTTACAAATACCTCTTTGAGTCCCTGCTTTCTTTCACTTCTTTGGGGATATATATCCAGAAGTAGAGTTGCTGGATTATTCTATGTTTGACATTTTGAGAAGCTGCCATATTGTTTTTTGTAGCAGCGTGATTTTACATTCCCACCAGCAGAGTACAAGTGTTCCAGTTTCTCCACATCTTTGTCAGCACTTGTTGCTTTGTTTTTTGTTTTTGGTAATAGGTATCCTATTGGGTGTGATGTGGTTATCTTATTGTGGCTTTGATTTGCATTTCCTTAATGATAAGTGAAATTGAGCATCTTTTCATATCTTTATTGGCCATTTGTATATCTTCTTTGGTAAAACGTCTCTTTAAATTTTTTGCCCATTTTTGAATCAGGGTTTTGGTCTTTTGTTATTGAGTTGTAGGAGTTATTTATGTATTTTGGTGTATATTAGGATTTGAACAGTGAGTATATCCAAGGCTAACGAAGATTAGAGGAGGACTTGATGAAGTCAGCCAGAAGTGGAGGAGGTAGCATATGAATCAGGCTTTTAATAAAGGAAAGAAATGTAGGATTTTTGAGGAGGCCAAGATGAGAAAAAGGAAGAAAAAGCATTCTAAACAAAGGGATTGACTTGAGCAAAGGAATGGATTGGGTAAAGCAGGGTATGTTTGGAGAATGGTGGGGATTCTGATTAGATTAAATCATCAGATTGGATTAACAGGCACTGTGAGGCTGGAAGGATAGATTTTGAAGGACAGACAGCCAGAGGAAAATACACATTTGGTCATGAGAGCAGCCTGTGTACATGCCTACCCCAGATTGGCCTGCCAGGTCAGAGTGGGCCTTATCCTACTTGCCACCTCTAGAGGTGAGGTCAGTTTCGCTCGAAGCATATGACTGTGAATATAGGATTTGGATGGGGTGGGAGGCTTCCTAAGTAAGAATCCAAGATGGTTAGCAAGAGAAGGAGGAGTGGATACTGAAGAGGCAGTCAGCAGACATCAGTGCTCCGTGCAGGTCTGTCCCAGGAGGCAGTCAGTAAATATCTGTTTGAATGGGGAATGACAGAAATGACCTCTGTAGCTTCTGAAAGCACCTGAAGCTTACCTGTCATGCTCAGTAGCAGGCTTCTGGCCCTTTCTGTGGCCTGTGCTCTGGGTTTACAGCTACCCTGGGAGGAATGATTAGGATAGTAAGGAGAGCTAGTGTTTATTTAGCATCTACTCTGTGCTAGGGCTCTTTCAGGTATTAGCTCACCCTTTCAATTTCATCTTAAGTTCTGACGGAGCTCTTCATATGGGAGTCAGGCTGGACAGCTCATTAGAGACAGAGCTTGATTAAATTTAAGTTATTTCTACTAAGGGGACCCACTGTTTAAACTCAACCTCCCCTTTGCCCTAGGCCCCAGCCTTCAGTGGTCGTGCTGGTTGTAATCAGCCGTCTACCTCGAAAGCTGTCCCACTCCCCAGGGCATCAGTCTTTTCGGGGGTGGATGATGACTGACCTGTGACCGGGGTCCTGGGACGTAAGCCCAAGGACGGTCAGTACTAGCTCTGAGTCAGTCCCTTGCCAGCACTAGAACTCTGCAGAGTTTTCCGTGCTTCCTAGTAGAAACTCACGTCTTGGCTTTTCCTGAGGTTTCCTCTCCCAGAACTGTTGTGCTGGCTGGGAGCAGAGTAAAGGTTGGGGTGGGGTGGGCTCGGGGGTGGGCCGTGCCCTCAATCTCACTCTCTAGTGGAGGCGGCTCAGGCTGACTCTTGTTTCTTTTCCTTTCCTAGAATCATCGCGATGATGAGTCCAGAGGACAGCTGGGTCTCCAAGTGGCAGCGAGTCAGTAAGTGTCTCCCTTTGTCTTTATCCTGGCCTAGATGTATTGTCAGGGCTGGTAGAGTTCCAGCATTTCTTTCATTTTTAGCTTAAGATTGTGTTTGGGCTTTCGTCATAACTCACTCTTAACTGCAGTCTCTTTTCTTCTCTTTCAGAGTGAGAAAGATGGGTCAGAGGAAAAGCCACGAAAAGTATCCTATGCCCTGTCACTTAAAACTTGTAGCCAAAAGAAGCAATTGCTGTTCTCTTAGAGTTCCAGCATTTCTTTCATTTTTAGCTTAAGATTGTGTTTGGGCTTTCGTCATAACTCACTCTTAACTGCAGTCTCTTTTCTTCTCTTTCAGGTAACTTTAAGCCAGGCGTGTATGCAGTGTCCGTCACTGGTCGCCTGCCCCAAGGTAATAATAATTACAGTAACAGCCCATGTTCATTTATTGTGCCAGGCTCTATGGAAGTTTCTCATGTGAATTAATGCCAGTGCTCACGGCTCTGTGAGGGAACCAAAACTTCAGAGATGTTAAATAACTTGACCAAGGTCACTCAGTTAGTAAGGAGTCAGAATTTCCACCCAGGCATCCTGGCTCCAGAACCCTTGCTTTTGACAGCTGTGGTGTGGTCTTCTGTTGTCTTCCCGTCCTTACTAAGTCATTGACAAGCACGTGCCTGGGTCCTCAAGCGGGTGACACGCCAGCCATGCAGTTCTCCTGATGAGCAGTCCAGAAATTCCAGTTTGCCTAGAGTGTACCACCCCCTCTCCTCCCCACATGGGAGCCAGGGGACCCATCTTGTGTTCTGGAGTCTTCTCCCTTCACAGAGCTGTTTCTCTTCCCACTGCAGGAATTGTACGGGAGCTGAAGAGTCGAGGCGTGGCCTACAAGTCCAGAGACACGGCCATAAAGACTTAGGAAGGCGCACGGCTGCCAGCGTCTTGGCTCCTCGTCTCTGCCGCTGCTTGTTTCTGTCGTGGAGCTAAATGGGCAGAACTTCAGACACATCCTGCCCTCTGATACTAGATTCAGCCGACTGTCACCAGATCAGCCCAATGTGTCCTTGGGCCATTTTTACCCTCTTTGGACGACTGTGGGGGTGGGTAGAGACTGAATTCAGTGGGGAGTAGGATGCTAGTTTTCCTACCTTCAGCCCAGGGCTGCGCCCTTGCTCACAGGCAGGACTCTGGGTCAGATGCCAATAAACATGAAGCCCTAGGAATGTTCTTAAGCCCACACAGAAGCCTTCCCTCCCTCTTCCCCTTAGGTGGGCGCAGTAAGAACGCACTGCCCAGTCGGCATCTTCCCAGAGCAGCAGAGCCCTCTGCTCTTCGTGATCCGTCTCTGAGCCTCCAGGGTTGTAGCCTTTCAAACGTGCTTCCCTGGGTCTCAGAAGGTCTGCTGTCCTGAGTCTAGGCAACCGTTGCAGCCTGGCAGTCCTGGTGTCTGGTGGTTGCATCCTTCTGCCCTCTAGACCTGGCACAGCAGGTATCCCTTAATCCTGAGGGCAGATAATACCTGTGTGAGTATTACTGGCCCTTGACCATGTTTAACACCTTTTTTCCCTTCTTTGTTCAGTTCTTCCTATACTCTAGGCCCACCAGTGGCACCCTTGACCTCCCCCTGCCCACCTTCCCTATGTTCCCCTAACTGGAGACCCTCAGGTTACTGTTGGGTCCTGCTTTGGTTAGTTCGGGCCTCCCCAGGAGGGGGCCTCTCCTTTTCTCTCTGGCCTAGTAGGGGTTCTTGAGTCATGTCATGTTACTGGCGAAGGTGAATTATTTGTTTTAGAATTAAATATTTATCATACATTCTCATGTATTTAAATTTCTGTAATAAATCCTGTTAGTGTCCCCATTGTTGTTATTTATTTGGCTTCTCCAGGTCTTAGTTGTGACATGTGGAATCTAGTTCCCTGACCAGGGTTTGAACCTAGGCCCGCTGCGTTGAGAGCATGAAGTCGTAGCCACAGGTCCACCAGGGAAGTCCCAGAGTCCTCATTTTTATTTCCCTGCGTTTCTTGCTCCCCATCTGTTCAGAACGAAAGTGATTTCATTTACTTCAGGATTTTTGTGATTATGAAAATAAAGTGATGTGAAAATTCTGTAACTTCAGTTTTATAGAAGGTAAAACATTCACTCTTTTATTAGCCATTCTTAAATATACATACAACATGGGTGAAAGTCTCTGTTTTGTGTCGTCTGTGCCCCCCTGTGGTCTCGTGTGGGGGGCGTCTGTGTCTGTGGTTTTCTCGGGGCGAGCAGTGTGGTGTGTATCGCTTTTCTTTTCTCGGGGGTGTTTTCGCGCCCGGGGTCTCACCCCGGGGGCGTGTGTTGTGGGGGGGGTCTTTTGTCTCTGTGCTGTGTATATAGACCCCCAAATATTGTGGGGATGTGGCGAGGGGTGTGGGGGGCTCGGCGCTCTGACTCGGAGCCGAGGTGCCTCGCTGGGGCTGTGTGTGTCTCGGCCACCTGGTGTTGCTAGTGAGTCAGTGTCTCAGGTTACCTGTGACCTGGGGTGTGTGGGAAGGCGGGATGTGACCCTCTGCATACAGGCCCAGGGGAGGAAGCTGGGACCGTCCAGGCTGCTCACGTCACTGCCAAGTCCTCTTCAAACTGGAACCATTTTCTCTGATGCCTTCGAGCTCAGGGAGTGTTCCGTTAACTCCAACCCCAACTGAGTTTTTCAAGGACTTCCCCAGCCCAGCAAGCTGACCGGGCTCTAGCGGTAGTGGTTTCTGTTGTTCAGTTTCAGTCTGAAAGGGGACCTTGGGAAGCAGCCCCACCAGGCTGGAGCTGACATGTCCTGCAGGGAAGAAGTGGGTTTTACCAAGAGTGCCCGGGCTGTGCAGCCAACGCCCAACTTTCACTGGCGTCCTCAGAAAGTCCCTTGGAAATCCCCCGGTCGCCGTCCTGCGTGTCTGACCCGGACGTGGCTGCTCTGTGAGAATGGAAACAGTTGTGGGGAGGGGGGGCGAGGAGCTGTGCACAAATAACCGCACTCACGCTGCCTCAGCCCCACACCAGAGGGGCCCTAACTGTCAGCTCCGCAGGAAGCCAGAGACACGGGCGCTGGTGGCTGTGGGGGAGGGCCGGCCCGTCATGGTGACCGGATTTCACAGACTCAGGGTGCTGGCAGCCTCTTCCTGGGAGCTGCCTCTGAACCCACCTTCTGGCTTTCTCTGGTCCTGGAACCCACCCAGCAGCCCAGACAGGCGAGAAAGCGCTGGAGTCCCATCCCCTGTCAGGGACCTGAAAAAGTGGGAATCCTGACCCAAGGATGGAACCTGGGTCTCCTGCACTACAGGCGATTTGGGCTTCCCTGGGGGCTCAGACGGCAAAGAATCCGCCTGCAACGCAGGAGACATGAGTTCAATCCCTGGGTCGGGAAGATCCCCTGGAGAAGGGAATGGCTTACCCACTCCAGTATTCTTGCCTGGAGAATTCCACGGACAGAGGAGCCTGGTGGGCTACAGTCCACGGGGAAACAAAGAGTGGGTCTCCCCCAAATGGAGGGGTTGACTGACAGTGCATGCAGCTTCCAGCCCAAAGCAGGGATAGGTAGCTGATAGAACAAGGGTGAGAAGACTCTGGTCTTGGAGGGAGCAGCTTCCCTAAGAGTGATGGGATGGACTGGTGAGGGCCTAAATTCAAACTGTTCTCTTCAGGTTTGGGCACTGAGGCCTCACTCCTCTGGCCTGATCATTACCTTCATATTCCCAGCCTGTCTGTGACTGGCAATTCTGTCCTCAAGTCCCTTCCATGACACCTGGTTCGTGCGTGTGTGTGTGTGTGTGTGTGTGTGTGTGTAAAAGAGTCAGGTAGAAAATGTTTAAGAACAGCTTAACATCTCACTCTGTCTGGCACTCTGGTTCATATTTAGAATTAGTAAAGTCTTTCATTTAAACAGCATTTTAGGGACTTCCCTGCTGGGGCAGTGTTTAAGAATCCACCTGCCAATCCAGGGGACATGGGTTTGATCCCTGGTCCAAGAAAATCCCACTGGCCTCGGGGCAAGTAAGCGCGTGTATCACAATTGCTGAGGCCGTGCACCCAGAGCTGCTGCAATGAGAGAAGCCGCCACAGTGAAAAGCCTGAGCGCCTCAATGAAGAGTAGCCCCCCACTCACCACTACTAGAGAAAGCTTGCACACAGCAACAAAGACCAAGAACAGCCAAAAAAAGAAATACCCGCTCCTCCCAAAATACCCCCCAAAACAAAAAAATAGCATTTTACAAGTTGACAAAAGGGCTTTCACATCCACTGTTATTTGACCCCCGACAAAACCCCCTGTGTCATGGTTAACATCCTGAGGGAACGATGAAGAGACTGAGGCTCTAAGAAGTAAAGTGACTCGGCCACGATTAAGCGGGGGAGCCTTAGCTCGGGAAATGCATTGCCTACACCCGGTTTAGGGCTGCGTGCTGACACGGTTCACCCCAAACACAGCAGCTTTGCTCCCTTCATGATTTTTCCGCAAAAACAGCAAGTTACATGTCCCCGCACATGGAGCCGCCACAACCACCCTACTCTCACTACCTACATCTCTCGTCTTCAAGTCTAAAATTGGCCAGAGAGGGGGAGGACGTGTGGGGAGAATGGCCCAGGGAGGAGGTGCTTGGGGGTTACAGAAGGGTCCCCGAGTGGATCATTGGGAAACTGGTCCAGGCCTCCAGTTCCCGCCTGGCTGCATCCTCTGTTCCATCCATCAGCTCTCAGGTATCTGCTGCCCTCTGTCAGACCCTCTCCAGCCTCCCCTGCCTTTTTTCTGCTGGCCGCCACCCTCCATCTGCGCCCTCCCACTGGAACCAGGGGCAATGTCGCTGCCTCCCAGCCCTGCTGCCTCCACCACCCACTAGCCTTGACCTTTCTAAGTCACTTGACTTCTCCAAAAGAAGTTTCCTCTTTATAAAATGCAGTTGACAAAACCCTGGTGTTAGGTGACAAGACAATGGTTACTTGTGAAAGGCGGGGTTGGTGGAGGGCACAGGGGCCCCCGAGGTGCTGGTTACGGTCTGTGTTTTGGTCTAGATGCTAGGTACACAGGTCGATTCACTTTCTGGAAATTTCCCGAGTTATGCACTCACCATTTGTTCACTTTTCTGTTTGTAAGTTATAATTGAAATACTTAAAGATGAATCGGCACTTATTTTAGGGTAGTTTTGAGAATCAAATGTAAGCATTCAGGTAAGAGCAATTTGAGAGCTGTAAACTACTAAGTCTATACATGGGACTTCCATGTAAAGTTGTCCTCCTCTAGATAAGTTCTAAGTAAGAATGTCATCACTCTAACCTTCTTGGGCAATAGATCTTCAAGTGTATCTATCATTCACAAATATATCAAAACTGTAACATTTTCCTTCAAGTACCATGCCTTTTTATCTTACTCTCTTTGTTCTTTCATTTTTTATGACCTACTTTGTGTTTTTTTAAAATATGTACTTCCTTTCTATTTGGATCTGAGATTGTGAATGTCATTTAACCTCTACTTGGCTTTGATCATCTGTTATAAGACCTCCATTTTTGTATCATGTGGTGAAATGATTCCAGGACTAATTAATTTTCTACCTCTTGGATTCATGTCAGCCTGTCAGATGTAACTTTTGCTGCTCATGAATGACTGGCCCCTTCAGGGTTTTTTTTGTTTTAATTATTTATTTATTGGCTGCTCTGGATCTTCATTGCTGTGTGCGGGCTTCCTCTAGGTGCGGCAAGCAGAGGCTCCTCTTGGTTGGGGGCGCAGGCTTCTCATTGCAGTGGCTTTGCTCATGGAGCAGAGGCTCCAGAGCGCGGGCTCAGTACTTGTGGTGCTTGGGCTTAGTTGCTCCAAGGCACGTAGGATCCTCCTGGACCAGGGATTGAACCCATGTCTCCTGCATTGGCAGGTGGATTCTTAACCACTGGATCACTCGGGAAGTCCTCACTCTCATTCAAACTAGAACAGATAGCCACGCTGATAAAAATCGCTGCTGTGTGAGCCAGTAAGACTTGGACTGAGGCAGAAAGCACACGGACCTTGGACTCAGAGGCCTTCACCACCGGGAGGTGGAGGTCCAGAGCGTTGGGGCAGGGGAGAGTGTGAAGGCAGGCCACGCAGAGAATACGCAGGCTGGGAGAGTCACGACAGGCCTCGCTGTGTGGGCACAGAGACCGAGCCCCGCAGTCAGGGGTCAGGCTGCCCTCAAGAGGGGTCACTACGCCTTTGTATGCCCTCCACTGCCTGATTGAGCACCTTTCACCTATAGAGACTGGTGTTTTTCTTTGCTTTGAGATTTCAGGAAGCAGGGACTGAGTGCAGAGAAAACGCTGCCCTGGGCTGCTGGCACTTCAATGCCAGAACCTCTGAGCATACGACAGAAACCATCTCCCCTCTAGACCTAGGCATTCCTAGTCTCAACACTGCCCACCGCGAGAGGAGGGCAGGCCTTACAGGGGCGTGGACACAGGACTTGAAGCCCGGGCTTTCCTTAAGGGGGTCATCCCACAGCAGAGGGAGGCCTGTTAGAAGTCAGGGAGCCAGAAGGCCGCTTCGAGACCTTGTGCGGCTTCCTGACTGCTTCCTCTCCTTCCTCTGCACCGAGTCTTGTGCTCCAGAGAGAACTGGGTGCGGGGGAGATAAGGAACAGCTTTGGACACCAGGGTGGGGAGACCCCAGCTTCCTCTGCAAAATGGAGTCCTCATCCCTTCTTCCCCAAACCCAGCCACTGCCGCCTTTTCGACCCCTCCCCCAAGCCCGGAAAATACCTGAAAGGAAGTGGGTGCTCTGGGCCACTAGGCGGAAGAGGGGGTTTAACTGTCACCTGGTCCCAGGGGGCTTGAGTGGCAGAAGGCAGAGAGGAAAATGCAAATCTGTGCTTGGGAGAGAGAAGAAGTCCACGGGGAGGATGACGCTGGCCGCTGGGGCCCAGCCTTCCTCCTGGGCTTGATGGTCCTCCTGCGGGGCCTGAGGCCAGGGAGTGATCACAGGCCCGGGGAGAAGCCAGCAGCTGCCCCCGCCCACCCTGGGCAGGCAGCCGCGCGGTGGCACTGGCACTTTCTCTGGGCATCTGAGTAGACTCACTTCCTCAGCCCTGCACCCCAGGGGAGCAGGGGAGGGGTGGGGTCTGGAGCCCCTAGAGCCAGGCTGGCAGTGAGGAGCTGGAGGGGGTCCAGGTGGGCACTGACATGCCTGCTGATGGAACCTGGGAGAAGCTACTGCGTCTGCAGCAGGGGGGGCCTAAGCTCAGACTGGAAAGACCACCCGCCCCCACCCTGCCCGCCCCGGCCTCCGCACCTCTCCTCCCCCTACCAGAGGCCAGAACTGGGGACCACGTGGTGTCCCAGCCCAGGGATCTTCACAGCCACTGGGAGGCGAAGAGGAGAAGGGGGAAGCGGCCCTCAGGCCAGAGCTTCCACAGTCATAATTTGTTCTGTCAGGATGACAGTTACTTGGTTCAAAGACTTGGCCACCTGCATGATCGCCTTTGTCCTCAGTACCATCCTGTGGGGCGTTATCTCCCTTTCACAGATGAGAAAACTGAGTTTCAGGGAGCATCGTTTGCCCAAGGTCCGCGGCCAGGCAAGGTGGGGTGGGGGGGAGGTTCAGCCCAGCTGTCCTCACGGCGTCTCTTCGGTTCCTCCGAGGCAGATGGGGACCCGGGCACAAAACTGGGGCAGGGGTGAGGGCTAGTTCTTCCTTTTGCCCCCTCAAGCCCCAGACTGCAGGTGCTGGTCTGCTGACTGCAGCACCAAGGTCTCTGGGGACCAGGCGTCCACTTCACTCCAGGGGTCGCTGGCCCGTGGACCCTTCCTGGAGGGCCTGGCCCCCCCCACCCCGGCCCTGGCCCCGCTCCCCATTTGGCCCCAGGACTCTCCCCAGCACCCCTTCCCCCCGCAGCCGCAACCCCAGGACACAGCGGCCCGCGCCCCATTGGCCGGCCTGGGAGCATTTGCCCTTATTTGGCCAGGCTGCTCCAGGCCGCCTCCACCCCCAGCCCAGCCCCCGCGGGCCCGTCTCTCTCACTTCGTCTTTTTGAGGTTTGGCTCTGGGGCCCTGGCGGGCGTCGCTTCAAACGCACTTTCTGGTTGAGTCACTTTTTTAACGGCTCCAGGGCTGTGAGCTGTCGCAGCGGTGGCTGGCGGCTGCAGAAGCAGCTCCCGGCCTTGGTGGCCACCGCCCCCCACCCGACTGCTTTAACGGGTTCCGAGGGAAGAAGCCGGGGTGGCCCCTTGCTGTTGACCACTTGGGGACCCACTTAGACCCCTCTGTTCCCCCCCACTCCCGAGCCTGGGGCCCGGGAAGTCTGCCCTGGGTTCCTCTCTCTGCTTTTTTCTCAACCCTCTTCTCCGGCTGGGCTGGGGAGGAGGGAGGCAGGCTGCCTCTCCCTGTCCTGTTGCGTGTCCACGCTGAAGTCCACCTGGTCCCCAGGGGGATACTTGAATGGAGTTCCTTAGGGAAACAGAAATGGGTTGCCGGCTGCTGGCTGATTTTCAGGAAGGTGAAACTTAACCTCGCTAAGCTTCCGGTTCCTCATCTCTGAGATGAGGATACTATCATTTACATCACTGGGTCAGCATGATGATCAAATGAGGTTTTATAAAGTTCTTGGCTGCCGTCCTTCCCCCACCGCCCCGCCAGCTCAGCGTGCACACCGTGGAGGTGAATGAAGACACAGCCCAGGGCGGTTCACTGAGCAGTCCTCACGGAGCTCTCGGCTCTTTCCACCCCCTCACCTTCTGCTTCTCCAGCTGCCCCTGGGCTGTGAGGAGGGCTGCAGAGGGCAGGATGTGGGCAGGAGGGAACAGACAGGCGGAGGGGACCCCCAGCCCCCTGCCCCTGTTCTCAGCCACGAGGAGGGGTGGATTCAGCCCCAGCTCCCTTCCCAGCCACGGCTGTCTCTGAGCTGTGGCAGGTCTGCCTGTGAACTCAGTGGGGAAATCCATGGGCAGGCTCTGGAACCCAGGCCTGCTGTTTCTTCCTCCAAGGGCCTTGGGGCCCCTTGCTCTTGGGGACTTCCTAGAGTACACACAGGTCCTAGGGTCAACCTCTTCTTCAATTTTATAGACAAAGGAACAAAGGCTGGGGGCTGGGGGCCAGATTCAGGGACGGGTCCAAAGTTACACTGTGAATAGTCCCAGGGTGGGGATCGGACTCCTGGGCTCCCATCTCCTAGGTTTACCCTCTTCCGTGGTCCTGATGTTGGGGTAGGCAGTTAGCTTGACGAGACACCATAGTGGGTTCCAGGCAGGGATGAGCTGACCAGCCCCACTCTAGGGACACACACACACACACACACACACACACACAGAGTTTATTTGTAGCAGTTAGAACTGAAGCCCGTGCAGATCTACAGTTAAACCAGGTGGCTTCGTACCTTTGTGTGCAGGGAGCCAGGAAGCTGTTTTCTCTCCTGTCCTTCCTGTGTCCCTAGGGGATCCCGGTGGAGGATGTGTCTGGTTCCATGGGCACTCCCACGGCAGTGGTCAGGGTGTTCTTCTTCCTCACACCCACACCCCCTTTCCTACCCAGCCCACCCTGCCTCTTCCTGGACGATGTGGACAAAACCTTGAACCTGGCCCTGTGTTGCTTTGTGACCTCAGGCCAACTTTGGCCTGTCTCTGGCCTTGCAGCTCCGTTTCCTCACTCAGGGCAGTTTGCTGCCTGATCCTGACCTCGTCCCGGAGCGGAGCTGGCCTCCCAGGCTTCACTGCAGCTGCCCCTCACAGAGCAGCTCGGGAGAGTGTGAGGTTAAACTTGGAGGGTGTCTGGGCCCTGCATGCAAGGCCAAGGGCAGAGAAGGCCCACCCTCCTTGTCTGGAGGCTGCTCTGCACTCCTGGTGCCCCTTCCCCTGTCCCCCCCAGGCTCTGGGCTGAGACACCGGCCTTCTTAGGTGCTGCAGCGTCCTTGGGGACCTAGCCCGTCAGCTTCTCGGAGGGCTTTCTTCTTTCAGCCCCTGCTTCCCTTGGCAGCCCCCACCTCAGGGAGTGTGACATCCTAACATTGGGGCTACCGACTCCAATCGCCCTTAGCCCCATTGTGCAGCACCGGGGGCTCAATCTCCCTCCTTTGTGGCCAGGCCCGTCCCCCAGCCTCGCCTGAGGGAGGGCGGGCCGCTCTCCCCTGACTTCCTGTTTGTGCAGTAGGCCGGTGGCTTCTGTCTTGTTGTCTCTGCACCAGGCAGGTTATCTGGGCTGCCATCTTTGCCTCCCTGCTGAGTGAGGGCCCTGGGACCATGCAGCTGGAGAGGAGGCTTGGTTTCCTGCTGTACTTTCCTGTGCAGACAAGACCCTCAGATTTCTCCCACCCTTGGGGTCTGTTCTCCCTTGCAGGTGTTACGCCTTCAAAAGGCCGTTTGCGCTCCATCTCTCCTTGCCTGGTCAACTGCTCCCTTTTATCTCCTCCCCTTCCAAATCCTCTTCCATCTGTGCTCACTTCCACCAGGAAGCCTTCTCATACGGGCCCCAGCCACTTTAGCATCTGTCCCTCCAGACCCATGGGCCCCGCAGCCCCACTCAGGACTGACATGCTCTTGTTGCTGGCGTTTTGTAAGATGTCGGCATGTGTGAAGGCACGTGTGAGTGTCCCCCCCTCACCCCGCAGATTCAGCGCTTGCTCAAGCAAGAGTCCCATGTCCCCATTAGGCCTGAAGCCTTGCACCTGCTTTAGGTACAAGCCACTCGCTCACCATGACACGTGGAGCTCCCACACCCTGCATGTGTATGTGTCCTCTCTCTCAGACTGGGGAGCCCTGAAGACAGGGCTATGTCCTTTTCTCCTCGGGCTCACCTTTACCTGCCTGCAGCCTCAGCCTGGCACACAAAACAGGCCGTCCCCAAGGTCAGCAAGGTCGGGTGGGGCTGGAGATTGTGAGCCTGGCGCCCTCCAGGAGGCCAGGCCCGGACCCAACAGCCTCAGGGCCCTGCCCTGGTGGAAAGGTTGTTCCCACTTTGTTTCTGATGTCAGCTGCCCTATCCCTACTCCTTCTTAGCTTGGCCCCGACTCCTTTTCCCCTCTTGCTGCCTCTGAGTGGGTTCCAGGAGCGTCAGAACTGGGAAGGACCGTGGAGGACACTTTCTAGCAGAGTCTAAGTGAGCCCAGGCTGCCCGCTGAGTGCCTGGCTGAGCCCAGACCTGCCAGTCACCATGGGGTGGAATTGGAAGAATTGATTCAAACTCCTCTCTCCTTCACAAAGAGAGGCCCCCTGTCTCCGCCACCTCCTCAGTCAGCCACAGGCCATCAGCAAGGCTGTTTTCTCTCATCCTGGGGAGCTCTGGAGGCAGGAGTGGGAGTTGCTCCTCTCTTAAGGGTGCCAGTGTCCTGAAGCTACTCCCACCTCTGCCCAGTCACCCTCCCAAGCACAGGCCTCAGATTCCAAAGTGAGCCTCCCCGGGTTTTTCTAGGGAGGAGCAGGTTGTGTCCAGGAGTGTACAGGGGGCCTTCCTCAGAGTGTAGGCCTGAGCTGGGGTGTCACTTGCAGGGCGTCTGTGTGGATCTGTCTGTGGGCTCGCTGTGCTGTCTAGACTAGGGACTGTGAGCCTTCTGGACTCTCCAGGCCCTGTGTGTATATGTGCATGCTTGTGTGTGTGTGTATTTGTCTATGTATGTGTGTGTATGTGTATATGTGCATGCCTGGGTGTGATTGTATATGTATGTGTGTATGTGTATGCATGTGTCTATCCGTGTGTGTACATGTGCATGTGTGTGCGTGCGTGTGTGCATGCCTGCGCTGAGGCTCCTGTTGCTCAGCCATTCATTCTGGCCACACCTACGGGTTGTGCAGCACGGAGCAGGGCCTCCAGCCCAGCACTCCTGTTCCACTCACCTGTGTGGTTCTTACTGTCTCTGTGTCCTTATCTCAGACCCTGACCCTCCCTTGTCTTTCACTTTGTCTCTAGTGTCCACATTCTCTTCCTTGGAGGCTCAGCAGGGCTGGGGGAGAAGTCCAGGGTATGAAGGTCCTGACCACCCCCGCACCAGTTCCATGCGTCCTCAACCCCAGACTCAGGATGGAACTAGGGAAAGGCCCAACCCGTCCAGAAACGGCCCGACCCTGGAAGCCCTGTGGTTGGAGAGGCTGAGCCTCCAGCTCTCTCCTTAAAAAAAATCAGTGGTCCTTGGCCTAGAGCACTGAGGACAAACAGGGAAAGCAGCCTCTGTCGTCACAGAGGGGCAGGCACCAGGGGTGCCCCCCACCCAGCTCAGCTCAGGAGAGAGGCCAGGCTGGGGTTCGGGACTGTTGAGGGACAAGCGTGTCTCTCAGAAGGAAGCTCAGGTCTGAGTTGCTGCAGGTCACACGCTGAGGGAGCCTGTGGCAGAGCTGGGCCCCGAAGCCAGGCCCCCTGGCCTCCAGCCTGTGACTCGTTTGCTGGGACGAAACACCTCTAAGGTGATGACTCTAGCGATACTTTAGACAGAAAGGGGGCGGCAAGACGCTCCTGGAGGAGGAACCCTGAAGGGTGGGAGTCCAGGAACCCAGGTTACTGCACGACTCTGATATTCTTATCCTCTTATCGCCCAGGGCAGCCACTTCCCCTCCACCCAGGGTCTGCTGCAGTGGTCTGTTAAAGGAGCACTGTCCCATTTCTGGCCAGCTCATCTTCCTCACCACTGTCCCTTTAGGCCTGCAGGTGAAGGACTATGTTTGCCCTTCTCCGTCCTGTTTATGGGCCTGGAGTTGGGTAACGACCTTCCAGGTTGCCAAGCCTGAAGGAAAAGATGCAAGACAGTTTTCTCCCCTGCTGCCTCCCCGGCAGGCCAGTCCTCTTTTGGGCCTTTGAATCTGAGAGTTCCTGCAGTCTGTGCATGCCTGGTCCGGAATGGGGGACCCAGAGAAGATGCTCATGGGAAGGAGTCCCTGGGTGATTCTCATCCACTCCTACCTGCTCCCTCACCTCCTTGGCCCTGGCCCAATCCACCCCTCTTGATGCCAGAGCCAAGCCCACTGAAAGGCTTGGAGAATCACTCACCCTAGCCCCCCAGCCAGCCCCACACCCTGTTTCCCGCTCCCCCCCACCCCCAGCCAGGGGCCCTGGGATGGGCAGCTTCCTGCCTTCCCCATGGGGAAAGCGGGGGTGGCATGCAGGTGGGCGGGCCCCGTGCCCACATCCGGTAGCAGCTTGGAACCTCTGCTCTCCGAGCCTCTCTCCCTCCAGCCCTCCAAGCCCAGTGACGCCCAGGCCCTGCCTGAGACCCCAGACCTCATCACCACCCTACCCTGCCCTCTTATCCTGACAGGCCCTGAGGGGCATGGGAACACCAAGTCTAGGGCCAACAGGCCCACCTGGCCCGAGTGTGACCTCCACAGCGTGCTGAGGGCCGGGCCTGGTCCTGCAGGCGGTGCAGGGGGAGGGGCGCCTTGTGCGGCGCTGGGGGCAACTTGGAGGGTATCATGGCGTGCTTCCCTAGACCCCCGTTGGACACCTGTTCCTTGGCGGCCTCTTTGGGCAGCACGTAGAGGAGCCACAGCCCGGTCTGAGCGCCACAGCTGTCCCAAAGGGAAGGGAGTTTTCTGGGCTGGGGTCGGTGGGGGTGGAGCTCAGAGAAAAGGTTCTTCTCTTGTGCTAGAATTTAGGCCCTGAGAGGCAGCCCTTACGGCCTGGGGTCACTCCCATGGCAGCCCCCAGACTTCTGAACAACCCCCGCGGCTGGTGTCAGGGGGGAAGGGCAGGCCTGGGGTCCCGGAAGCCACCTGCCAGGGTGTGTGCCATGGTCTCTTCAGCCCCCTCCCGCCAATACCCAGCCTTGTCTCTGGTTTCCTGTCAGTCTGTCCTCCCCAGGGAGGGGAGGGGCAGCTAATCAGCACCGCAGTGTGGGGGCGGGCTCCAAGACCGTTGGGCGCCCTGAGATCTGACCCACGTGGCCTCGGGGTTATAAGCCCTGCCCGCCCTGAAGGGAACCCCACTTGGGAGCCTGGCGCACAAGGTTTGCACCCTTCAGCCCTGCAGCATTAGGTAAGGATCCGAATCTTCACTTCAGCCCCGGCTGGGGCTCCCTGACTATGGGCTTCAAGGGGTGATGAGGGGCTTGGGCCACAGACTTGGGTGGCAGGCCTTGGGTGGAGGTGCTGGGGAGGCGCTTGGGAGGCTTTGGTGCCAAGGCTTCCAAGCTGAGCGCTGGGCAAAGAAGGGCAAGACCCCTCAGGTCTACAGCTTCTGTGGTAGGCCAGCACCTCAAAATCCTTGACTTCTCTAGACAAGGGAGTGAAAATGGCTCCTGGCCCTCAGTGAAGAAAGAGGGGTCCAAGGCTTCAAGGGACAAGGGCGGGAGAATAGGGCGGGGATGGCAGAGGCTGGCGAGAGGCTGGAAAGGGGGACTTGGTGTCACTGAGAGGTGCTCAGGGTCTCCCTCCACCCAACATGGCCACCATCTCTGTCAAGACGGCTTTGGGCTCCTGTGTGGGGAGCCACAGCGGTGGGTGGTGAGGGATTCCGGCCTTGGGCTGGAGAGGAGGCCGGGGATCCAGGCCTCCGGTCTGGCTCTGGAGGGCATCACGCCAGGGGTCAGAACCGGGGCCTAGGGTGAGGCCTCCTGAGCGGCCAGTCTCCACCTGAGTGCCCCCGAATGTGGGGGCGACGGGGTGGAGCCGGGTCCGGGAGGGGGGGGGGAGAGGGAACCAAAGAGGAAGTGGGGGAGGGAGGCCCGGTCTGGCGCCATGCTGAGTCACCGCCCACAGGGCCCCAGCGGCCGGGCCGGGCCGGCGGGCAGGGGGCCGGGGTCTCTGGGCGCGGGGGCAGGGCCGGGGGGGCCGTCGGGCCGGAGCCTGGAGGAAAAGCCGGCGGCCTGAAGAGTTCCGCAGACGGACAGACAGACAGTGCAGTCACCCATAAAGTAGAAAGCACTACTAACAGCACTGGAGGGTGTAGTGTTTCCTACTTTATGGATGAGTGTACTGTGGGCTTCGGAGACCACGCCGCCGCCGCCCGCCGCCGAACTCCCCAGCCGTCGGGGCCGCGTGGGACAGGTGAGCCCCGCGGGCGCCCCCGCACGCCGCCCGGACCTCTGAGCGACCGCCCCTGCCTGCCGTGGCCCGCGCAGAAACGCGGCCCAGGCTCCTCGGCTGCCCCGAGGGCCGGCAGGTGGACTTCTGGACCCGATGCAGCCGGAGAGGCGCCCCCGCGAAGCGGCCCGGCCGTCGGTGGACGGATGCCGGATGAGAAAGAGGCGGGAAAGTGGGGGAGGAGATGGCATGGAGGCGGGAGCGGTGCCCGGGACCCCGACAATAATAAAGAATGGACTCCTCTCTGTTGTCTGAGACTCTGTTGCTGGGTGCGGTGGGGCAAATGGGCTTAGCAGGCACATGGATGCGCAGAAAGGCCGGAGGGAAAGTCACTCTCTCCTGAGAGAAATGGGTTTGGCTCTGCCTAAGGGACCAGAAAGGGGCTCTGGGCCTGGTCGGCTGGTGGCCTGCGGAGGGCCATCCCCGGGGGGAGGACCTCCCTGCAAAGGAGGAGAGTGGGCAGGACGTCAAGGGCAGGGCTCTGAGGACTTCCTGCCCTTTACCCCAGCTCTGGCCTTGCGCTGCCCTCCACCTGCTTTTCACACCCGCAGACTGAAGGCGGCCTACCTTTAAGCTGTAATCTCAGACAGTCTAGGGGCTCCTTGGTAGTCTAAGAACTGGAAACAAAGTCACTGTGTCTCACACACAAAAAGTGTCATACGTAAGACAAGGGCACAGATGCTAATATACAAAGCACACGCCAGCACATGAGTGCAATCACACACAGGGCCCAGTATACAGAAGCTGTCAATACAAACTGTGTCAGGATTTCCCTGATGGTCCAGTGGTTAGGACTCTGCGCTTCCAGTATTGGGTGGGGGGGTGCAGGGTTTGATCCCTGGTTGGAAAACCAAGACCCTACAAGTTGTATAGTGCAGCCAAAAGAAAAAAAAATAAATTGAAATGGTACATTTACATGGCAGCATGTCACACAGTGACACACAGGGATATACCCACACTCAGGACACAAATATATTTAATAGTATACACACACGCAATGATACAAATACATATAATGTGTGTCACAAAAGAGCATACAAATACACATATGGTGACATTCACATAATAAATACATTGCTTCTGTACACATACACATATAGTGACATGTGTGTGTACACATACACATATAGTGACATGTTCATACACAACACACAAGAGAGACATGGTGATATATATAACTACTTATAACTATATATATAGTTATATATATAACTATATATAACNTATAGTGACATGTGTGTGTACACATACACATATAGTGACATGTTCATACACAACACACAAGAGAGACATGGTGATATATATAACTACTTATAACTATATATATAGTTATATTTATAACTATATATAACTACATATAAATAAAACCATGTCACTGTATGTCATTACATATCCATGACTGTATGAGAGTGTGCTATATTGTGTGATGTCATCCATATACATTTATGATGACTTACATGTTGTAATTTATACACTCACACAATCATAGCCTCACATACACATCACAGCATGTGGATGATGTGACAAGTATATATGCAATGGCACATACACAGAAACATGCATACGTGTATACCCAATGAGGCCCATAGACACATAATAGCATACACGCATGCATACATATATGTGTGTGCATGTGTATATAAAGTAACACAATGTTTACCCACATACACAGAGACAAATTTATGTCCTATGTATGTGTACTACACATATGCATGCACATAATGGCACGTGCATACACCCTGCATGTGTATACTGATTTAGGGAAGTGAGGATGACACGTCTTCTTCATGCTCCCCCACCACCAACAGTTCCATCAGCTCTGGCCTAGGTAGAGCTCACTATCAGGGGCTCTGTGGCTTAGCACTATTGGTGCTATCCCGGGGGACTGCCACACGGGGGCCCCCTCCCTTAGGCGAGACTGGCTTGAGCCTCAGGTTGGGAGGGACTGAGAATCCGGTCCAGAGGCCTCTCTGAGGTCCATCCTAACATCCGTGTCCCTGGGGACTCCATCTAGGTCTCTGCCACCACGTAGAGGCTGGTTTAACGGTGGAGGAGTTCCACATCCTTGTCCCCAAAATGCCATTTTACCATAACGAAAAGTCTTAGGATGAGACAGAAGGTGAGCTTCCTGACAGTTTGGGGCTAAGCCAGCCTCACAAACCACGTGGCCTTCCCCGCTGACCTGAGAAGCCAGGTTGCCCCCAAAATGCATCAGCCAGGAGGAAGCGAAAGCAATTATCTCAGCCTATTTCCACCTCTGTCTCCTTGTTTCTCTCTTGTTGTTTTCATTATCTTGATTTCCCTGTCTTTCTCTTTGTTTCATCGTAAATTCCATCTCTGTTCCTGCCTTTCTCCATGGCTGGATCTGTCGTGCCAACCCCATCTCTGTCTCTACCCGGCTTGGACTGGGACAGCTATGGAGACAGCTGTCTGCAGCCCCCCTGACACCGTACCCCGGAAGACGTGGGGGGTGTGTGTGGGAAGGGTGGGCGCTCACACGCTGGGGGCACTGGGTCGACATCCTAAGGAACCTGTTCTTCCCTCTGTCCCAACCCTGCCTGCCGGTCCAGCCCACCAGTCCAGCGCCATCCCCATGGAAACCAGCAGCCGACTTCCTATTGGTGGGCGGGAAGGGAGGGGGAGGGGGCGGGAAGGGCTGGCTCTCCCTCGCTCACCCCCCCGGGGTTCTGAGGCTCGGCCCTCCTCGGCGCCCACCATCTCGGGGCTCTGGGACTACAGGGGACCCCTTCAGTCCCCAGAGCTGAGGTCAGCAGGGAGAGAGACTATGAGGCAAGCAGCCCACCGACCCAGGCCTCCTTAGGACCAGCCCAACCGCCCAGCAAGCTGGCCAGCAGCGGCGGAGAGAGGAGCCAGAGATAAAGGACTCCAGCGGACCTTTGGGGATCACCCCCAGCAGCTCCTGTGGACCCTAGCCGGGCTGAAGGATCGTGATGGATGGTCAGGTTCACAGAGGCTGAAACGGACACACAATGACAGCCATACACACAGCAGTACACAGCCCTGAGACGCTCAGATACAACCGGTGACAGCATCACACACGGCCACAGCCCTGCAGTAGACACCCACACACGCAGAAACAGCTGGTGACTCTGATACAGGCACAGGCAGTGACACACAAAATCACAGCTCCCCAGCACACACACACGCACGCGCGCACACACACACACACACACACACACGGCCGTGCTGATCGGCACAGGCCGACCTGGAGACACGCGCACACCCTCAGCTGGCGCGGCTGTCGGTGGCCTCGGCACATGCTCCCCACCCCCGCGGGGACACCCGTGCTCCTCCACAGGCTCGCGCACACAGCCACGAGCAGACAGCTCACACGCACACCTCTCGCTGCAGCTCCTCCGGCAGCCCCGGCTCCCGCAGCCTCCTTTGTGGGGAGGAAGCAGCCGGCTACCTTGGATGAAATTGCAGTGAAGCCCAGCGCTCAGAGAGGAGAGGGTCTGGCCTGGCGTGACCCTCGCCGGCCCCTCCAGCGGGCTGGGTGATGTCCCCGGGCTTGGGTCCTGGGGACCCTTGGCAGAATCATGGAGCAACTGACATCCTTCCCGCGGCTGGGGGACCCCGGAAACATGGAGCCGTGGGCACTGTCCGCCTGGCAGAGCTGGACTCCAGGCCGGGGGGGTGATGCTGGAGGCGCACCCCCAAGCATGGCTGGTACCCACACAGATCTGCGTGTTGGAGAACTGAGGCCTGAGGAGAGCTCCGAGCCTGAGGGAGCCCGAAGCCCGGGGCCTGTGGGGGGCATTGAGCCTGGAAGAACAGCAACTGGGCTGCCCAGCCCTGTGCAGGGAGCCTTGAGCTCCGGACCTGGCTGTCAGAGGCTGGAGGACCCGGAGGCAGAGGCTTTCTCTAAGGTAAGGGAGCTAGGACGGCCGGGGTCTGCGAGGCTGGGGCTCTCATCCTGCCTGCCGGCCTGGGCATGGTCTGGGACTTCACTGCCCCCTGTCTTCTCTGGGCCTATCTCTGTCTGGGGGTCCGTCTCTGTGACTGTCTGTCCTCCCTTCTTTGGGCAGAAATCTCAGTGGTTCTGTTTCTCACCATCTGTCTGTCCTTCTGACTAGGCCTGTCTGTCTGCCTTGAACCCTCCATTTCCCCCTCCCTCTGTGAGTCTCTCTCTGACAGTCTGTCTGTGTCTGTTTATCTCTCTACTCTGTACCTCTCTGTCCTTGGGGGCTGGGGGATACTGGAGGAGTGTGTGTGGGGGAGTGTGTGATGGAATCAGAGTCTGGAGGAAGCGACTCAGCGGAGGGGGGCTCAGTGCTGGGCCAAGCCAGAGAGGACAAGGCTTGGGGTGGGTGTGAGTTGTCTCCTGTAGACGATGGAGGGACCTGGACTTTGGGGGACTCAGGATCTGGGGGAGCCTGGATGAGTGGGGGTGGGAGCTCAGGCTGGTCTTTCCCAAGAGGGGATGCTGGGCAGAGGTGGGAAGAATTGGGGACTGGCAGAGAGGGTCCCAGGGTTGGGAGATGCTAGTGTACCTAACAGCCCCTCCTGTGCCCCACTCTGAAGGCCTGGGACATGGGGGAGAACCTTCTTGTCTCCATGTCTCCTTGGACTGTGGAGGGGGAATGCGTCCACATGGAGGGCTCTGATTTCTATAGGCAGGGTAATTCCTGAGGGGCTGTGCTCCATCCTTTCCCATGCCAGGGCAAGCTGAAAATGGGCTTCGGGGACAGGCCCAATCTGGAGCTGCTGAGGGCCATGGGGGAGCTGCAGCAGCGCTGTGCCATCCTTAAGGAGGAGAACCAGATGCTGGTGAGGCTTGGAAAGCAGGTCCTGGGTCCTGGGGGGGAGGCAGACTCAGACACCCCGGCTCTCTGCTTCGACATCCTTCTCATCCCATGAACATCCCTCCAAGCGGGAGCTACATGGAGCGGACATGACCCCAAGACCCAGAGAGGGTGAACCCCTACCTAGAGTTGCCAAGGAACCCCTCTGTGAGCCCAAGAGTCTAGCCCAAGGCCCAGGCTGTTACGATTGGGTCTGGGGCAGGGGCTGGCCTTCTCCCCACATGCCCCAATTCTGGCTGACCCCTTGTCAGAGGAAGAGCAGCTTCCCCGAGACGGAGGAGAAGGTGCGGAGGCTGAAGCGGAAGAATGCCGAGCTGGCGGTCATTGCCAAGCGCCTGGAGGAGAGGGCCCGAAAGCTGCAGGAGACTAACCTGAGGGTGGTGAGGATGGCAGGCCACTGGATGGAGGCTGGGCGGCCAGGGCAGAGGGGTGCCAGGGCAGTGGGGCTTGGGCATCGTGGACCCTTAGTACCCAGGGACGCAGGAACCCAGCAGCTGAGGTGTAGAAAGGGCCAATGCCAGCCAGACTAGGGGGCTGGGGGCTTCTGGAGCCACGGAGGGAGAGAAGGGCTGGGTAGGGGTGTGGGGGGTGTGGGGGGTGTCCCGGGCAGGGAGAGCAGAATTCTGGATTGTCAGTGCTGGCGCTGGCGGCCACCTCCCGCTGCGCTCATCTCTGGGTGCAGAGCTAGCAGGGACAAGACCCATCACAGTGGCAGCCCTCAATTAGCAGCATCNAGGATAGGAGCAGGTGAAGGCCACATTTCAAAGGTGTTCATCCTAACCCCTCCTTTGGGAGGAGCTGAGAAGTGGGAGAAGTGGCCCAGTCCTCAGATGACCATTGGCCTTACCCCTCCCCTGGCTAGGTGAGTGCTCCCATGCCCAGTCCAGGGGCCAGCTTGGAGTTGTGCCGGAAGGCCCTGGCCCGCCAACGAGCCCGGGACCTCAGTGAGACAGCCAGCGCCCTGTTGGCCAAGGACAAGCAGATCGCTGCCTTGCAGCGGGAATGCAGGGAGCTGCAGGCCAGGCTCACCCTGGCGGGCAAGGTGCGTGGAGGCCCTGTCACCCCTGCCAGCTCAGCCCTACCTAGGGCCGCCGGCCTGGCGGTGTGGGATGCGGACTGAGATGTTAATGAGATGCAAATGAAGCGAGCAGGTGGAGGCTGCTGGGAGTAGGTTCCCCTGGCAACGGCCCAGGTGGGAGCGGGGACTGGGCGCCTGAACCGAAGGGGGTGGAGCCGTGAGTCCCAGACCTGGGAATTTCTGGGCTCCAGGTTTCGGGCTGCAAGCCAGTGGGCCTGGCTATACGAACTCACGCATAACCTCACACTGGGGTGCAGAGATGTTCGCAAGGCATTGAGCACAGCGCCGGGCACACCGCGAGTGCCCAGTAAACGCGCTCCTGGGAATGTTTGCACACCGGCGAGCGGAAGCATGGGGCTGTGTAGGCATGCATCTGCGACCGGGCGTAGATGCATGGGGAGGGTGCGCACCTGCCCCCGCCCGAGGGCCCCTGCAGTCCAGCGGAGGGCGGGCTCAGCTGAGGACGGCGCGGGCGGGTCGGGGTTAGGCCCGACTCGGTTCCCGGTCCCCCGACTCCAGGAGGGCCCCCAGTGGCTCCACGTGCGGGACTTCGACCGGCTGCTGCGCGAGTCCCAGCGGGAGGTGCTGCGGCTGCAGAGGCAGATCGCCCTGCGCAACCAGCGGGAGCCGCCCTCGCCGCCCCGGCCCCCGGACCCCTCTGCCCCGGCCAGAGCAGGGGCGCCCGCCCCGGGGGCCCCGGGAGAGGTGAGCGCCGGCGCCAGGGCAGGTGTGTAGGTGTGCGGAGAACCGGGTGGGAGCGGCTCCGGGATCTCCCCCCTCCCCGGGCACCGCGCTCAGAGCCCCGACGAGGAGGTGGCGGCGCGGGCACTGCCCGGGCCAGGTCCTCGGCCCGGCTTCCCAGGGCTCGTACCTGCGCCGCGCGCGCCCCCGGGGGCTCGGGCCCCCCTGTCCGCAGGCCTGAGGCCGGCGGCCCGCCCCGCCGCCCCTGCCGCGCCGGCAGTGGTACGGCCCAGCCGCAAATCCCCGGTTGCCCTGGCAGCCGCCCGGGGCCCAGCCCGCGCCGCTGCCTCCCGCCGCAGCCACAGCGCGGGGACGCCCCCTTCAGCGCCCGCCTGGTCCGTCAGACCCGGCCCGGCTCCCCGGGGGCGGCGCGGTGTCCTCCCCGGCTCCAGGTACGGGCGACCCTCACCGGGCGTCGGGCTTAGGCGGCCCCTGGCCCGAAAGCTGGGCACCCTGCTTCGGACCTCCGTAACTGAGAGGTCTGGCTGCTCTCCATCCTCCGTCCTGGGCGGCACCTGGGTCCCCCTCCTTCCGGGAAGAGGGGAGGGACCAGGGACCCTCTGCCTGGTCTGGGGGGCGGTGGGGGGGGGCGGGGAGCATCACTCAAGACCTGTCGTCCAGAGTTTGCACGGATGGATAACCGGACATGCCCATAGGGTGGGCTCAGGGAAGCTGGGAGGAGGGTCTGGCAGGTCTGTAGGCGCTAGGCCAAGACTCTTTGGATCCATAACCCCTAGGTCTGGGGACATCACCTCCCTGGGGGCCCAGGCAGCCTCCTAGTTCTCTGCCAGTCACTGAAGGACACCCAGGACAGTTATTGAGTGCAGAGCAGGGCTGCAAGCTAAAAAGGGAAAGCTTTGGCCTGGATAGAGGACCTATCTCCCCGGGCAATCATGGGTCTCTGGATCTCAAAGCACTCAGGATCAACTGGAGATGGGGGAGCGGGGGCAGATAGCACCCTTCCCCTTCCTGAGCAGGGATCTCTTTGCTGACTGTGAGGTGGGGTGGGAACCCCCCTCGGACAGTCTGGGCTGGGGGCAGGCTGGGCTGGGGCAGGCTGCCCTGAGGCCTTGCCCTCAGGTGCCAGCCCACTGCCCCTGGCCATTTCCAGGCCATACCCCAGGAGGATGTGGAAAACCCGGCTGTGGTCCTAGAGGAGCCCGAGAAACAGCAGAGGGTGCAGCAACTGGTAAGACCCGGGTTAAGGAGCTGGAGGAGACCCTTTATGGGTGGATCTGCCTTCCCGTGTGAGGAGCTCCTTTCTGATCCTGCAGGAATCGGAGCTCAGCAAGAAGCGGAAGAAATGCGAGAGCCTGGAGCAGGAAGCCCGGAAAAAGCAGAGGCGATGCGAGGAGCTGGTGAGCACTGTGGGGTCTCAGAAGGCCGGCTCCTCGGGTCTCTCAGGCCAATCAGGTGGAGGGCTCCCCCAGAGTGCCAATTCCTTCTCTCCTGGCCTGAAAGCATGCTTTCCCTTCTGTTCGGTGGGGCTTCCCTTTGCTGGCTGAGGCAGGTCCCAGGAGGGGGCCAGCAGGGTCCCGTGTGCTTGTGGGGGGAGAGGAGGAGGTGGGCGCTGGGACCCTCCCTGGACCTCCCCTCTGGTCTTGCAGGAACTGCAGCTCAGGGCAGCCCAGAATGAGAATGCCCGCCTTGTGGAGGAGAACTCTCGGCTCAGTGGGAGAGCCACGGAGAAGGAGCAGGTACCAGCTCTGCCCAGGTCCTGCCAGGGCCCCGTCCCTGGGCAAGGTGCTGCCTCTACCAACTCTCCCAACTCCTGAGGCCCCTGGGGGCGGGGGTGCTGGGGGGCAAGGCTCACACTCTCAGCTCTCTGCCCTCCCCCCTGTCCAGGTGGAGTGGGAGAATGCAGAGCTGAGGGGCCAGCTCCTGGGGGTGACGCAGGAGAGGGACTCAGCCCTTCTCAAGAGCCAAGGCCTGCAGAGCAAGCTGGAGAGCCTGGAGCAGGTGCTGAAGGTGAGGGCACTGGGCAGGTGGCGGGAGGGTGGCACGGGGCGAAAGAGGGATGGTAAAGCATGTGCCCTGCGTGGGGCGCGGGGGTGTAGGGCTGAGTCCTGGCACCCGCGGCCCTTTCCTTCTCTAGCCGCAGTTTCCTTTTTAACAGAGTGTCTGGAACACATGGTGTCTGAGGCGCCCTCATCTTAGATCTTCTGTAGAGACAGTAGAGCAGGGCTCGGGCCTTGACGCAGGCTCTTGCGTTTCAGCACATGCGGGAGGTGGCCCAGCGGCGGCAGCAGCTGGAGGTGGAACACGAGCAGGCTCGGCTCAGCCTGCAGGAGAAGCGGGAGGAGGTCCGGAGGCTGCAGCAGGTGGGGGCGGCGTCTGGAGGGGCGGAAGGGCGGGGGGCTGCCAGGCCCCAGCTGTAGCTTCCGGACCCTCATCCAATATGGGCATTTATGGAGAACCCTTGGTGGTTCAGACGGCCAGGAATCTGCCTGCAATGCAGGAGACCCAGGTTCCATCCCTGAGTGGGGAAGATCCCCTGGAGGAGGGCATGGCAACCCTCTCCAGTATCCTTGCCTGGAGGATCCCATGGACAAAGGAGCCTGGGGGGCTACCGTAGGTGGAATCACAAAGAGTTGGACACAACTGAGCAACTAACACTGTCTAACTAACACACTGTGTGCCAGGCACTGTGCCAGGCCCTGGAGGGACTGTGAGGGGCAAAGGCCAGGTCCCTGATTGAGCAGCACATAAACAGATCCATGCGTGAGCTGATCGCAGGCATTGACAGGAACAGTGGGGGAAGTCACCGGGGTGATGTGACATAGGGTGGTGAGGATGGGGTGAGGGGTCTCTTCAGCGAGCTTGGCAAGGAAGGCCTCTCATACCTCGAGGGTCAGAAGGAGCCAGCTGATGAGCGCTCTAGGGAGGGGGAATAGTCATGCTGATGCCCTGTGGGCGGGAGAAGCTTGAGGGGCACAGACCAGTGTGGCTAGCATGTGGTAGGATGGATGGAACGGCAGGAGTAGGCAAGAGCCAGATCGCATCAGACCTTCAAGTCAGGGGAGAAGTCTGGGTATTCTGCTTTCTGAGTCAGTTGAAGCCGTTGAAAGATCCCGAGCAGGGGAGTGGGATGGTCTGATTCGTCATTTAGAGGGTCGCTTCGGCAGCACTGTGGATGGTGGACAGGGGCGTGGGCACAGGGCAAGGCATTGAGGTGGAGGGTGGCCATAGGGGTCCAGGTGGGAGATGATGTCTGCCTGGGTGAGAGTATAACCCACGGCGGGAAACAAGTGGGCAGATTCGAAGTACACTGTGGACAGAGAATCGACAGGACTCACTGTGGGATTCTGATTGAGTGCCCTGCGCCTTCACCCAAGTGCTGACTACATGGATGGTTGGGCCTTTCACCCCCCAGGACTGAGGGATGACAGGCAGCAGGTTTGAGAGGTCAGGCATCCCAAGTTCTGAATTCTGTTTCAGCCAAGTTTGGGTTGTGTGTTAACCACCCTAGTGGAGAGGCCCACAGACAGCTGGACTTGTGAGCCTTGGGTCCTAGGGAAGTCGGTCTTGGAGACAGGTTTCAGACTATTCAGTGCATCTGGTCCTGTGACTAGATGGGAGTCTAGAGAGAGAGTGACCACGGGCCCAGCACTGTGCCCTGTGGGACCCTGACACTCAGAAGGGGCAAAAGACGAGCAGGCAGAGAGCATCAAGAGAGACAGGAAGAGGAAAACACCCCGAGGGGGAGGGTCTGGGCAGCAGTCCCAGGCCCCTCTTCTCCGCCCCTTCGCCTTTGGACTCAAGGTGCGGTTCAGAGTGGGAACCGGAGGGAGCCCACCCACAGCCCCTTCCCAGCCCCCTTCCCTCTCCTCTCTCCTTCGTCCTGCCTACCCTCCTCCCTCGATCCCACCCCAGTCCTCACCCCTCTCCTCCAGCATTTGCCTCCTCCCACCTGTAGGCCCAGGCGGAAGCCCAGAGAGAGCATGAAGGTGCTGTGCAGCTGCTGGAGGTAGGGTCCCCGGAGGTGGCCACCTCTAGAGGTCCCCCCCTCTAGCCAGGGGGAAAGGCTGGGGCGGTTCAGATAGTGCTGCAGGGGGCTGCCTGGATGTGGGTGGGGGTTTGCGCTTGCAGGAAGGGTCCCTAGATGCTCTGGGGGCTGGGGTGATCCCCTTCACCTTTGGCCCTGAAATATCCTTCCACTTAGCACTTGCTTAGTCAGTCTAGGGAGCTGACTGAGCCCTGTCTATTTGGGCCCCTCCCTCCCTCCCTCTCTGGGTAATATTCCCCCCCCCACCCCCACCCCCGTAAGAGTTCTAACTCTCCTCTGGGCTTTCCTTTCCTGCCACAGTCTACCCTGGATTCCATGCAGGTACAGCCTCCTGATCCCCCATCTCCCTTGGGGAGCGGGGGCGGGGGCGCTCCCCAACACCCCTCCAGGCTGGCTGAGCTGAGTCTCTTCCCTCAGGCCCAAGCGGTTCCAGCCCTGCTGTCCAACAACAGGGCTGTGACTGGTCGCAGGCTGAGACGCCGTAGATGGGCTGGGATTCTCACAGGGCATGTGCTCACCCCCCCAGCCCCAGCCCCAGCCCCAGACCTGCCACTGTGCCTGGCATACACAGGCCCTGCCTATCTCTGAAGCCCAGCCCCTGAGACCAGGAGGGGTTCAAGCCAGTCAGTCTGACCCACAATCCCCTTGATGGGGACTCTCCTGATCCTTGAGAAAAACTCCTGGGTGCTGGCTCACTCCTGTCCCAATGATGTCCCGAGCTCCTGGGGTCTCTGCGGATGTCTCTGAGGGCAGGGATGTGGGTCAGAGACGTGGCTGTGGAAGGGTGACGAGCCACGGAGTGGAGAGAACTCCTGAAGTGATACCGTGGTGGTGATGGGGTGGGGTGACCCCTTTTGGGGTCAACACGCAGCAAGTGCTGGGGCACGCTGCTGAGCTGGGGGTGGGGTTGGGAGTGACGCTGTCCCGCAGTGCCCAGGTCTCGACCCCCGGATGTGGGGGCAGCCGGGCGGCCAGGCTGAGGGTTCGTGCCCTGCCCCGGGGCCTGGGCAGGTGCGATCTGAAGCGGGGCTGCGTGGAGATGGCACGGGCCCGGCCCAGGCAGCTTCGTGGCCCGGCGGCTCATCCTGCGTCTCGGCCCAGGTCCGGGTCCGGGAGCTGGAGGAGCAGTGCCGCAGCCAGACCGAGCGCTTCAGCCTGCTGGCGCGGGAGCTCCAGGCCTTCCGCCTGCACCCTGGCCCCCTGGACCTGCTCACCTCCGCCCTGGGCTGCGGTGCCCCAGGGGACCGCCCGCCACCCACCTGCTGCTGCTCCACCCCGCAGCCCTGCCGCGGATCCGGCCCCAAAGGTGAGGTAGACTCCCAGTGCCGTCAGCGTGGTGCTTTTGTCCTGAGCGGAGTTCAGGGTCAGAGAAGGCTAGCAGCTCACCCGAAGTCACACAGCAAGTTAGAGCCGGTTCTGGCATGAGTCAGGCTCCAGTGGGTGGGGGGCGGACAGGGAACAGCTGAGCCCACTGGAGAATCTCAGGGAGCTGCTCCTCCTGCTCCTCTGCGGTCCTGGCTGGGACCAGGACCAGGACCAGGACTCCCCGGCATCAGGAGTCAGTGGCAGGCAGTGTGGGCTGGCGAAGAGCCAGCTGGGCATCGGTCAGATCGGTCATCCCAGCTCCACTCACTCAGAGAGTGACACTGCTAAAGCTCTGTGGGCTGTGTGTCCTAGGCTCTGAGACAGGGGCGTCCACGGCACCTCATCGAGTTGCTCTGAGGATGCTGTGAAATAATACGTGTGAGTGTCCTCCATCTCCGCTTAGTACGCTCCCCCAGGATTTCCCTTCTTGTAAGGGAACTTGGCCACAGAGGGCCTGATCTCTAGCTCCAAGAGGATGCGTGGTCACTGGTCGCTCCTCGGGACACCGACCCCCAAGGCCACATGTCATCTTTCCTGTAGACCTCGACCTCCCACCAGCGTCCCCGGGGCGCTGCACCCCAAAGTCTTCCGAGTCTGCCGCTGCCACCCTTGTCGGGGTCTCCCGGAGGACGCCGGCCAAGAGGGCAGAGTCTCTGTCCAACTCCTCTCGCTCCGAGTCCATCCACAACAGCCCCAAGTCCTGCCCGACCCCTGAGGTCAGTGCTGGGGAGGGGCCTGGGCTCCAGCTCTGCCTTGGGTGGGTGGTGGCCCAGGAGCTGGGGGGCTGCTGGCCCGTGTAGGGGGTCTAGCCAGGCCCTGAGGAAGAGGGGCCCATGGATTCCTCAGGAGTGGGCTGGCGGGTGGGGAGCTCCGATGCGGCCTGTCCTGCCTGCCATCCCTCCTCAGGGGCCGCCCAGCCCGCCCCTCTGGGGCCCAGCAAGGCCAGAGAGTCTTGGGCTGCAGGGAGTGAGACCCTTTGGGGCCAGGACCCACATAATGAGGCTGGTGGTGAGAGTGTCTGTGGCAGAAGCCGGTGGTGCTGTGAGAAGGGGCAACGGTTCTGGGACTGAGGTCCCAGCTGTGTCTTCGGCAGGTCGCTGACCCTCTTTGGGCTTGGGTTCTGCTGTCATCTGAGTTTTGAACTAACAAGCCTGCCCGGTGAGGTTGTGGGGAGGATGATGTGAAAACAATACAAGGACGGTGCCTCCCGCCGTGTGGGGCACACAGTAGATGCTTAACATATGGCAGCTGGTATCTGCCAAGTTCTTTGGTATCACTCACAACCGCAGCCCTCCCTCTCTCTCTCCCGCCCAAACCCGAGAAAGTGCGGGGAGTGGGATGGGGGCGTCCGGAGCAGCGCTGCAGCCTCGGGTGTGGGAAGCAGTGAGCCCAGCCGCGGCCTCTACCGTCCCCTTGTGGGCAGGAGTGGAGGTGCTGGCTTTGGGTGCCCCCGCTTACCCTGCCAGTACCTCTGTCCCAGGGACTTCTCAGCTTCCAGCTAGAGTGCTTTATTGCAGTTTTATAACCTTAAGGACACAGACTGTCGTAGGGCGCCCCCTTGCCCCCTGCCGCCAGAGTGTCTGCCCCCTGTACGCTGGGGATGGTGGTCTTATTTACTGGGCTGGTGCAGCAGATGTCAGGGCTCGGGGAGGGGTCACCGTTAACCCCTCTCCATTGATGCAGGGTGTCTGGACTCCACCAGGCCCCGAGGACTGACGTTCTGGTTTAGAACGCGTCGGCGGAGCTCACTGCCGCTGGCCTCGTCCAGCATCTGCCCCGTTTCTCGTCTCAGGACAGTGGGGCCTCCCCTGCCGGGTTTGCGGTCGGCCCCTGGGTCCTGGAGAGGACTGGCCCTTTTCTGTTGGCCCCCAGGTGGACACGGCCAGTGAGGTGGAGGAACTGGAGGCAGACAGCGTCTCGCTGCTCCCGGCAGTGGCAGAGGGCGGCCGGGGCGGAGCCAGGGTGCAGGTCTTCCTAGCTCGCTACAGGTGGGCCCTGACCCCTGTGCCCCGGCCCTCCAGCATTTGGGGTGCGTGGGGGGCATGAGACGCTGGGGGCGTGGCAGGGGTCACAGTGGGACAGGTCATCTTCGCCTCGTTGGGCTGGGGTGGGTGCAGTGGGCACTCCCTGTGATTAACGGTGGACAATAAAGTGTCCTCAAGCCCGAGCGACGGGCGGGGAGGAGACAGGATGTCGGTCACCATCCCCCTCCTCCTCCGGGCCTCCCCGCAGCTACAACCCCTTCGAGGGCCCCAACGAGAACCCAGAGGCAGAGCTGCCGCTGACCGCCGGCGAGTACATCTACATCTACGGCAGCATGGACGAGGATGGCTTCTTTGAAGGTAGGAGGGAGTGGGGACCTTACTATCCATTCGTTTGCTTTGAAGCTCCTCTTCCCAAAGCCTTCCACCCGTGTGCACCCTCTGAGCCCGCCGTCACTTCTCAGACTTGGCTGAAAGGCAAGGAGAGACCCGGCGGCCCGTGGGGAAAGGGAGAGAAAGGGGTCCGGGGGCAGCTGGTCTGACTCCATGCCTGCCCCATGCAGGACAGAGGGCCCAGCACAGTCCAGAGGGCGGACCGAGTGTCACAGTGAATTTCGGCTAAATCTGCTTTTCTGCTGGCAGGCGGGGCATGGCAGCGCCCAACACTAGTGACCTTGAGGTCGGGCACGTGGTACATAGATCTGATGCTGAACCCAGTGAGTGTGGGGAGGAGGGATCAGGGGTCCAGGGCCCAGGAGAGGGTGTCAGCAAGTGGTCAGCAGTTGCCAGGGCCCAGGCAGGGCTGCGCTCCAGGGTGGTTCTGCAGTGCCCAGGGCGCTTCTGTGGTGCCCGTGGGGCGATCAGCTCATTGAAGCAGACACCATGTTACTGACTGGGCAATACGGCAGGGCCTGGCAGACTCCTCGGGGTGCCCTGGCTAGGCGCCAGGCTGCATCCTTTCATAGCATGGAGGACAGTGTGGTGTGGAGCCCAGGATGAGGGTGGACAGGGCAGGTGAGAGCTGCAGCGGTGTGTGGGGATCAGCAGAGTGCTTGGGTCTGCGCCTCTATCAGCCACAGCTTGGGGTTTGTGGGGCCTGCTCAGCCTCTCCTCCTGGGGCCCCCTGCCTGTTATCTGAGCAGGTGCTGGGAATGATGGAAAACAACTAAACTCTCTCTAGGGATGGACGATGGAGAGAAGGATTAAATAGCTCCCAGAAAAATGGCCTTTTTAATGAGGAAAAAAAAATTGAAACACCAACTCTGTCCAATCCCATGGACAGAGGGGCATGGCAGGCTCCAGTCCATGGGGTCGTAAGAGTCAAACACAACTTAGCGACTAAACCACCACCATCACCACCAGCAAGGACATAAATATTAACTAATCACCAGTTACTAGAATTTGAACTGTGCAATCTAGGGTAGCTGGAAAGGCATGTAGACACGTGGGGGTCGGACTCCCTATTCCTCATCTTACTTTGGTGGCTTCATCTGTGTCTGGTCCCACAGCTGGGCTGCTCTCAGCGACAGGGCTTCCAGACCATGAGCCCGACTGCGGCCCCGGCTCCTGCACCAGCCTTGCAGGGCTGCAGACCTGCTTAGTGTGATAGTTCCTCCCGTTAGCATCACACCCCACAGTGTTGCCTGTATGAATTTCTTAGCGCTGCCTTAAAAAATTTCCACCAACTGGGTGGTGGCTTAAAGCAACAGAAATGTGTTCCCTCACAGTTCTGGAGGCCAGAAGCCTGAAAGCAAGGTGCTGGCAGGGCCACCGTGCCCCTGGAGGCCCTGGCGGAGATTCCGCTCCTTGTCCCGTGCAGTTTCTGGGGGTCCAGCTGTTCCCTGCTTGCGGCCGCATCACTCCGGTCCCTGCATCTGCAGTCACATCACCTCCTCCTTTTCTCTCAGCGCCTCTCGTGTGTCCTCTTAAAAGGACACTTGTCATTGGGCTTAGGGCCCACCCACATAATCCAGGACGATCTTTATCTCAAGCTTCTTAATTGCATCTGCGAAGACACTTTTGCCATATTTACAGGGTTCAGGGTTTAGGATGTGGACATATTTTGGGAAGGCCACCTTTCAACCAACTACTTATGTGCTGTTACTTAATTTTTTGAAAGTCTTTTTTGTTTTTCTTCATTTTCTTACTTTATCCCCCAACTCCTAGCCTAAGTAGAGAGAGATGATATTGGGGAAGCTTCCACATCCTCCTGCTGCTCAGGACCGCCTACACCCACCCCCTGCCCTAAACCTGGCCCTTGTTCCCCTTTCCTCCCAAGAAGGCCCAGCAGCCGCCAGCTCCTCTGTGCCCTGGGACTCTCTTTCCTTTTCCCAAATTAGCTGTGATGTGACAGGCCATTTGTCCAGGTTTTTTGATCCTTGACATCCCACAAACAATACGAAATGTTTTATAATGTTCTGTTGCCAAGTGTTCAGGGGAGCTGGTCCAAGGTAACAGAACTTTGCCACAATCGCCATCAGAACTGACTGACAGGCACCTCCCTGTGGTCCAGTGGTTAAGAATCTGCCTTGCAGTGCAGCGGATGTGGGTTCGATCCCTGGTCAGGGAACTAAAACCCCACATGCTTCAGATCAACTAAGCCTGCACGCTATAAGTAGGGAGTCTGTGTGACACAAATATCCTGCATGCTGTAACTGACGCAGACAAATAAACATTAACCAAAGAACTGACTGCCAGTCATGCTCCTAGACCCAGGCCTGCTGTGGATCTCAGTGCCTTCGAGAACCCACAGGGGGCTCTTTCCTCTGGCACATGTGTCTTTTGTCTCTAAAGACTCCTGCCTTTCTTCTAGCCAGACAGGACCTCCCTCTCCCTTTGAGGGTGTCTGCTCTCCACACAGGAAGGCTGAGGTGTGCCCTTGTCCTCACTCCTCAGACCCATGTAATATGACAGTTTTTAAACAGACGGAAAAGTTAAATCGTAAAATGAACACCACCGGGATTCAACAATTATTAATATTTTGTCATAATTGGCTTTTTCCCATGTGGGTTAAAAATAGGATTGAAAAGCAAGGTGTTGACAGATGATATTTTACTTCTTTTTAAGTGAATGGATTAATTTTGGCTGCACTGGGTCTCCGTTGCAGTGCACGGGTTTTCTCTAGTTGAGGCGAGAGGGTAGCGCTTGTCTTGTTGCAGAGTAAGGGCTCTAGGCATCTGGGCTTCAGTAGCTGTGGCGCATGGGCTTGGTTGTTCCGAGGCATGTGGAATCTTTCTGGCCCAGGGATGGAACCCATGTTCCCTGCATTGGCAGGCAGATTCTTAACACTGTACCACCAGAGGAGTCTGACACACGATATCTTACCTAGACATACTTCCGTGTGCATCTGAACATCCTTCATCCCTGAAGCATCACCTGGGAGCTTGTTCAAAGTGCAGAATCTCAGCACTGTTCAGACCCAGCTGAGCTATAATCTGTATTTTAACAAATCTCCAGGTGATTCATCTGCACATTAAAATTTAAAAAGCCCTCCCCATAGAACTACAGTATGATTATCACACCACTGAAAATTAACAATAATTTCCCAGTCCACATCGTGATTGCTCTTTTAAAAGTGCTAACAGGTGAATCACATGCCTCGGAACACTCACCAAGCCTCGCTACAATGCATTGATCGGGCTGTGTTTTTCTCCGCCTCCTCTCTTGTCTTCCCCTCCCCAGGGGAGCTCATGGACGGCCGGAGGGGCCTGGTCCCTTCCAATTTTGTTGAGCGCGTGTCCGACGACGACCTGCTGGCCTCCCTGCCTCTGGAGCTGGCTGACTTGTCCCACAGCTCAGGCCCCGAGCTCAGTTTTCTGAGCGGCGGCGGAGGTGGCAGCAGTAGTGGGGGCCAGAGCAGCGGGGGACGCAGCCAGCCCCGACCGGAGGACGAGGCGGCCGGGGAGGCACCCAGCCCGAGCCCCCCGCCCGAGGGCCTGGGGGAGCTCCCTGCCATGCCTTACCCCCGCCGTCTGGCCGTCCTGAAGCAGCTGGCCCACAGCGTGGTGCTGGCCTGGGAGCCGCCTCCTGAGCGCGTGGAGCTGCGCGGCTACCACGTCTGTGTGAACGGGGAGCTGCGGCAGGCCCTGGGGTCCGGGGCACCTCCCACGGCTGTGCTGGAGAACTTGGACCTGCAGACCGGGCCCCTCCGGGTCTCCGTGCAGGCCCTGACCAGCCAGGGCGGCTCCGACCCGCTGCGCTGCTGCTTGCTGCTGGGGGCCCGGGCCCGTGTGGCTCCTAGCCAGCTGCGGGTCCATCGGCTGACCGCCACATCTGCCGAGATCGCCTGGGTGCCCAGCAACAGCAGCTTGGCCCACGCCATCTACCTCAACGGGGAGGAATGCCCCCCTGCCCGCCCCAGCACCTACTGGGCCACCTTCTGCCACCTGCGGCCTGGTACCCTCTATCAGGCACGAGTGGAGGCTCAGCTCCCGCCTCGAGGGTCCTGGGAACCAGGCGGGGAGAAGCCAGAGCCACGGGCTGCCACCCTGCAGTTTACCACACTGCCAGCAGGTAGGCGGGCTGGGGTGCCTGGTGTGTGTAACCCCTGGGGAGGTCAGGGCCGGGAGGGTGGCCCCAGGGGAGACTGGCTGCTACTTGCATCTTTAGGGAAGTGGCAGAGTGGGCTGTTCTCTCTGGCGGGTGTGCTCCAATCCTGGGTCTTGTGCCCCCTCCCCTAGGCCCACCTGATGCCCCCCTGGATGTGCAGGTCGAGCCAGGGCCCTCCCCTGGGATCCTGATCATCAGCTGGCTCCCAGTGACAATCGACGCGGCCGGCACCTCCAACGGCGTCCGGGTCACAGGCTACGCCGTTTATGCTGATGGGCAGAAGGTACAGCCTGGGGCTGCCCTCTCCTGTACCCTGGGAGTGGGGCGTGGGTCTCTGCCTTCTCCTGTACCCTGGGAGTGGGGCATGGGTCTTTCCCCTGTCTGTGCTGAGAGGCCTCATCTCCCCGGCCTGGCATGGAGCTGCCCGCCCTGGGCATCTGTGCCCTAGGTAGCAGGTTGGTAGAGCATGGGCTTTGGAAGCCCACGGACTAGGACTCCAGCCCTGGGGCCCCGTGGCCAGGAGGCCCAGCGCCAGCGGTCGTGGTGTCGTGGGTGCCTGTGTGTGTCACTGCAGCCCCCCTTTCCCGCGCTGTGCCCCCCACCCGCAGATCATGGAGGTGGCCTCGCCCACGGCGGGCAGCGTGCTGGTGGAGCTGTCGCAGCTGCAGCTGCTGCAGGCGTGCCGCGCGGTGGCCGTGCGCACCATGTCGCCCCACGGCGAGTCGGCGGACTCCCTCCCCGCTCCTGTCGCCCCTGCCCTGGCCGAGGCCTCCGGGCTGGCCAGGGTCCCCTGCGCCTCCCCACGACCAGGCCCGGAGGCCAGGCTGCCCCTTGCTGCAGCCTCCCCGGGGCTGGGGGACCCCAGCTCTCCTCTCCGGTGCCCCGACCCCCATGGAGCTCAAGAGCCCCCGGGCGCCCCCCCAGCCAGCCCTCCCAGAGAGACGGCAGGAGGATCCTCAGAGGAGCCCCCAGTGCCTGTCTCGCAGGTACCCGGCTGGGAGGAGGGCAGCAGGCGGAGGCTGGGAGGAGGGTCCGGGATCGGGCTGGGGGGCCCTTCCTCAGTGCCTGCCGTTCCAGGAGCAGGCTGGGGCGGCTGTGCTGGGGGCCCCTGGGGACGGGAAGGCCAGCGAGCCCGCCTTGGGAGACTGCGTTCCTGGCCCTGCCACCTCCTGTGTGGCCAAGGAGGACGCTGAGCAGACCGCGGGAGAGGCCCGCCTGGCACCCGGTGCCACCCAGGGAGCGCTGGCCCAGAGGCTGCCCAGTGCCCAGGCCTGCCGTGGAGGAGACGCAGGGGCTGGGCTGAGGCCCCGGGCTGAGGTAGGGGGCTGGGGTCGCCCCGGGCCACCGCGAGGAGTCGGGGGCCCCCTCCCTGCCTCTGCCAGCCCAGAGCTGGTTGCCCACTCTGCCCGTTCTCCACCCTGCTCTCGCTCTGCCCTGCGCTGTGTGTCTGGCTGTTTTCGCTTGCCGCTTTGTCTTCCAGGTTTCGTTCCCCGCCCCGCATGGTGCCTATGCCCCAATTTGGGGGCATGCCCCTCTCTCCTCTGCCGGGGGACCGCCCCATTCATCCTGGCGGGGGCTGACCCTGTCCGAAGGTCCCCACGTGCCCTTGCTCACCTCCCCGCTGTCCTCCCACGTCTGGCCTCTTGCAGGAGGACGCGGCCGAGCCGGGGGTCCGTCCGGGGAACTCCCTTGTGGACCAGGGCCGCACCTCGGACCTGTCAGACATCCAAGAGGAGGAGGAGGAGGAAGAGGATCTGGGTGTCAGGACCTGCTCCTTCCCGAAGCAGGTGGCTGGCCACAGCATCGGGGGGCAGGGGGCCAAGGTACCGGGGTGAGGAGGGGCTGGGGGGCGCTGCAGGTTCCCGCGGCCTCTGCCCCCCGAGTCAGCAGCTGCTCCGGTGTGCCGGCAGCATTCTCGGTGTGCGGCCTGGGCCCTCTGCGGGGCAGCAGCTAGGAAGTAGTTCAGGCCCGGCTTCGGCCCTCCTGAAAAGGAAGGGGGGACCGAGGCGCCCCGTCCTGTAACTTCTCCCACTCAAGGCCGCTCGATGCAGCGCCCTCTGAGAGCCTCGCATTGCTGGGAGCTTCGGAGGAGGGACTGGGAGGCCCCTCGCCATCTCAGGCCTGGCCTGCTCCCGACACTCAGCCCCTTTCTGCACCCTGTTCTTGGGCGGGCTCCTCAGTTCTCCCGGGGGCCGTGCCCTGGACACGCTGTGTGGCTCTGGGCCACTCTCTCTCTCTGGTCTTCCTTCTTGGAGGGAGGCAACAGGGGGTTGGGGGGGTGGGCTTTGGGTTACCTGAAACCCCTGCCCTCCTTTGAGGGCAAAGGTCACATGGCAGCTGGAGGAAAGGAAGTGGCTCCCCCGAAAAGCCCCCTGGCCGCAGGCGGTCCCCGGATCTCCGGGAGCATTGCAGCCGGCTTCTCAGCAATGGCGGCGGCGGGTCCCAGGCGCCCGGCCGAGCACCGGGCCCTGCGCGCGAGAGGGGCGGCCCCTCTGCGGCCGAGGGCGCCAGGGCTGCGCCGGACCCCGGCGGGAGGGCGCGGCCCGCCCCTTCCAGGAAGTGCCCCCGGGGCCGGGCCCCGGAACCGGGACTGGCCAGCTGCCTCTCCCCCAAGTGCTTGGAAATCAGCATCGAATATGACTCTGAGGACGAGCAAGAGATGGGCGGCGGGGACATGAGCATCACCAGCTCCGGCTGCCTCGGAGACGGGGAGGCCTGGGGTGCAGCCCCCGTGGGAAGGCCCAGGGCACCTCCGAAGGCCGGTTCAGGCCCCCACCCCTACCCATGCTCCGCAGCCTGGGAGAAGGGGGAGCCGGAGCGGAGAGGCCGCAGTGCGACCGGCAGAGCCCAGGAGCCGCCGCCCCGGGTCCGTGCCCTCTCCCGCCCGGGCAGCCCCCTGCCTGCTGCTGCCCGGTGGCCCTGCTCGCTGCCCACCGGCCGCTCCCATTCCACGCTGCCGCCTCCATCAGCAGAGGTGGGGTGGGCCTTGGGGCTCCCTCACCTGCCTCCTCCCACCCACATTCCACTGCTTTGCTGCTTCTGCCGATCGATCGGAACTGGGATGCGCTGATGTTCTGTGGCCATAAGTCGCCCATTGCTGCCAGCAGGCCCCCTGCCTTTGGGGCAGATGGCCCTTTCCTCCGCTTAGCTAGTGACAGCTTCAGGACCCAGCCTGCGATGTCCAGCATCGCCCAACCCCGACACGGAGAAGAGGCCCTCCTCTCACACGCGCCTCGGCCAGCGCTCAGATCTAAACCTTAGTCCCTCTACTGCACTCATCTGCTAAGGTGGCCGGAGCCCGGGCCTCCCCTCCTGCCCTTCCTCCCCCCTGGGGGTGTCTGATGGCTCCAGTGATCTTGGGCCAGGGCTCCAGGAGAGGAATGTGCGTCCCTGCTCTGCTGTGCCGCTTCCGCCGACGGGGCAGAGCTGGGGGGAGCGCTGTTGGGGTCCTGCCGCTACTGAGGCGCCCAGCAGAGGGGTGGTGCATCACTCCTGCTGTCTGTTGCCCTCTTTTTGCAGGCAGCAGAGTCTGGGGAGCCCAGAGGGCTGGACAGCCCCGGGCAGAGTGGCTCCCAGCGGAGAGGGGGCCGGGCCCCCAGGCCAGGCTCCACGGAGCTGGGTGAGCCTCTGCGGGGGGTGGGCCAGGCCGAGGGGCTTCTCCCGCCTCCTTGGCCAGAGTTGATTGCAGTTTCTCCCCCGCAGCCCCCACGAGGAGCCCTCCAGAAGAAGCCCCGGCCCTCCGGGACCTCCCTGTCAGGGTCTTTGTGGCTCTGTTTGACTACGACCCTGTGTCAATGTCACCCAACCCTGATGCTGGGGAAGAGGAGCTCCCGTTCCGGGAGGGCCAGATCCTGAAGGTGATGACTCACAGTCTGGTCCTGCTTCCTCCCTCCTTTCCTGCCGTGTCCAGGAGGGTTCATAGCCTCACCCGGGGGGGAACGCAGCTTCTAGAGCCAGGTGATGTGGAGTGGGGTCACGACTGCCACGTCGAGCCGTGAAACCAGGAGTAGACTCTTTCCTTCGGGCCTCATGGGTAAAGTGGGGATCATGTGAGTATCTGCCTCACAGGCTTGTTTTGAGGATTAGAGGATTCAGTACTCACAGAGCACTGAAACGGCCTGGCACGTGGCTCAGCGCGATACTGCTGCTGTTAGCGTGACGACATCTACTGAGCCTCCAAGGATTTCCTGAAGGCTTTGGGCTAAAACTCTGAGGTCAGGGAGATCCAGTCTGGGGTGGACTGGGGGAATGGACGTGCAGACGGTGAATGATGATCGTTCAGATAGGGCTGTTTTCTGTCATCCCTCTGATTCTTCTTGGCTATTTCCCCCTATTTCCGATTCCATGAAAGGTAGAGCATTCTTCTGCAGTCCTGAGTTGGGGGCCCTGTGGGCTCAGGGAGCAAGGAGCAGGTGGAAGTGGCCTGCTGACACAGCTTGTCCTTTCTGCCTCTAGGTGTTTGGGGACAAAGACGCAGACGGCTTCTACCGGGGTGAGGGTGGGGGCCGGTGGGGCTACATTCCCTGCAACATGGTGGCTGAAATGGCCGTGGACAGCCCTGTGGGGACACAGCAGCTGCTCCAGCGGGGCTACTTGTCCCCAGAGGTTCTCGCTGAGGGCTCAGGTATGACCTGCTCCTGCCCCTCGCCCATCGCCCCCCACCCCAGTTCCAACTCAACACCCCCCAACCCCAAGTAATTTGGACATTGGGAGTGGCCAGGGTACCTGGTTGATCCAGAGAGTGGCAGAGTCACTGGGACCCTCAGAGACTCGGGCCCTCGTGGCCGCAGTAGTGAGCTTGCCACTCGGAATGGGGGCTGCTGCAGGGGGACCGGCCGTGTGTTTTGGATCCTGGAGGTCGGGGATGGGAGGGGAAGAGTGGCCTTAGAGACTTGAGTGCAGGAACCCCAGCACAGCCCCGAGAGGAGACCAGAGTCACTGTCCGTCTCGCTCCCTCTCTCGGTTTTCCTCTAATGTCTGCTTGCTGTCTGGAGCAGGGAACGGCCCCTTCGTCTACTCTGCAGCCCACACCGCCGGGCCTCCCCCCAAGCCCCGCCGCTCCAAGAAAGGTGGGTGTGATCCTCTTCTTCTCCAGGGCCCCTGAGGATGAGGAGGGAGTTGGCCAGGGGCACTGCCTGACTCTCTGGGGAAACACAGGTCTGTCTTGAGCAGGTGGAGGGAACCGGCCCCATCTTCACCCACAGCCATGCGTCCCATGGGGAGCTTCACTCTAATGGGGATGGGCAGTGGTTTGCTAAAACCTTTGTTCTAGAAAGCATCCTTGTCTCTTATGTCTCCTGTATTGGCAAGCGGGCTCTTAGCCCCTAGCACCGCCCGGGAAGTCCTGTTCCAGAAGGAACCTGACTATAGATTCTGTGCAACTTGGAGCAAGTGACCGACCCTATCTGGCCCTTAGTTCACTGTGAAGCCCACAGGGCCAGTCTGCTCTCGGGCTGATGGTCCTTCTCCTGCATCTCTCCCTGTGTGAGGCTGAGCATCCTGCCTGCCCCGCATCAGCACCCCCACCTTTCCCTGCTCCCCAGGGGGAGGGCCGGAGGAGCAGGGTTCACAGGGTTCTTCTCTCCGCAGCTGAGTGGGAAGGGCCTGCCCAGCCCCGTGGAGGTGAGGGGCTTCCCTGTGCCTCCAGCCTCCCCTGGAGCCACAGCTGCTGGGGAGGCGGCGACTCCGACTCGGGTCGGCAGGTCTCCAGCGCCGAGGACAGGAGGCGGGTGGGAGTGCCTAGAAAGAGTCCCGAGTCGTCTTCTCCTCCCCCTCCAGGGCCCCTCCATCTGGCCTCCTCTGCTGGCCTGAAGGCTCCCCATTCCATGGTGGCCGCGTTTGACTACAACCCCCGGGAGAGCTCTCCCAACATGGACGTGGAGGTGAGCCCCTTCCGGAGCCCAGCCAAGGCGGGGTGGAGACCATGCCTGCCCTGGCCTGATGCCTACATTGTGGTCTCTCTGTAGGCAGAGCTGCCCTTCCGGGCAGGTGACATCATCACTGTGTTCGGGGCCATGGACGATGACGGTTTCTACTATGTGAGGAAGTGGGGGTGGGGGTGTGCCCAAGGGGGATCTCCTGGAACCATGGGGGAGGGGAACCAGGTTCCTGATGGAAGCCCAGAGGGATGGGCCAGTTGCCTCCTGTGATGGCGACAGGGACCCCAGGCCATCCCCTCCGGGGCTTCAGTGTCCAGGGGGTGCTGTTGAGGCCCCTCCTGGTCTGTCTCACCCGCGTCTCCTCCCCAGGGGGAGCTGAATGGACAGCGGGGCCTGGTTCCATCCAACTTCCTGGAGGGCCCTGGGCCTGAGGCAGGCGGCTCAGACAGGGAGCCTGGGACAGCCCCGTCCGAGGGCCAGGTCAGTGAGGACCTGGGCTCCGGCCTCAGCAGTCGGGTCTCTACGCGGCGGCGTGGGAGTGTGCAGCCGTGTGCAGTGGTCTAGGTGCCCATGGTGCCCAGGAGGGGGTTGTGAGCCATGGCCGGAGGGGACCCAGCCAGGGTGGCTCCCCCCACCCCCCCAGCGTGTGCCCCTCTGCGTGATGGGGCGAGGCCGAAACCTTGATCCCGGTCTCATCTGACCCGGCCGCCCACACCCCCGGCCAGTGCAGGGGAGGGCCCCCTGGAAAAGGACCCTCGAGTCTCCCACACCTCTCACCAGCACAGCCCCCATCGCAGGGACCCTCCCTGCTCGCCTGCTGCAGCTCCCCGGCTCCCAGGCGCTTTTTAAAGCTGGACGCCCAGCAAGGCCCCAAGTCCTGGGTGGGTGGAGTACACTTACAGGCTCCCAGGGCAAGAAGACGGTGAGGGGGCCGGGCCCCAGAAAGCCTGGGGCCTCCATCTGCACTAGTTCCAGAGTCAGGGGCTGTGCAAGCAGGACCTAGGAACCCGGGTGACCTGGAGACTGGGTGGAGGGCTCGTGGTCTGCCGGTAACCCATCTCCTCTCTTTGTTCCCTGTTCTTCAGAGAACGAGGAGGAGAAGAGTCCAGTGCTAGATGGAGATAGATATATGTAGAGAGAGCGACATGTAAGTGGGGACTGACCCTCTGGGTCCAGGTCACCCCGTTCCTCGGCTCACCCTAATCAGATAGTGCTCCTTGTCTCAGACATGGGAACCCCACTGGCTTGTCCACCTTCTTCCAAGGAAAAGGGGAGGGAGCTTTGGCCGCGAGCCCACTTTGGAACTCGGATCAGCCCCTCCCCTTACCTTATTCAAGGCGGTGCCAGCTGCCTTAGAAGTACATGTCATCCTAGTATGTACTGTCCCATGTTAACTGACCCTTCATGTTCTATAGCACATGCGGCTCATAGAATGTTGTGTGACATCCATATTGCGGCTCATCGGTGTATTATGATACTATATGACTATGGTATTATAATATTGTGATTATTATTGGTGACAGAAGAGTGGTACTAATGCCACCAGTAATAATAGTCTCCATCTCTCCACCCTTGTCCTCTGTATCATGACCTCTTAGGGGTACCAGAGGCATGATTTTATGTCCAACTTTCCATTTTCTTGCTGGGGGGTGGGTATTAAAGGGGAAGCTTAAACAGTCGGAGTCCATGTATAACCTCAAATCATTCATTTCTGGGGCCTCTCCCATGAGTCTCCTGGGACCCCTGGGTGGGAGTGGTAAGGGCCTCCGATCTCCTCCCCACCCTGGCCAGTCATCAGCCCTGGCTAGTTGGAAAGAGACTCTTTGACCTCTGGGTACTGCCCTCCTCCAGGGGATCTTCCTGACCCCAGGGATCGAACCCATGTCTCATATCTCCTGCGTTGGCAGGCGGGTTCTTTACCACTTGCACCACCTGGGAAGCCTCCTCTGGGTGCCAGCACACCTCTTTGCGGGGAGCCCTGCCAGATCACCAGGGCCTTAGGTGGAGGCGGGCCCTAGGCTGGACACCCGGCACCTGAGTTCTGTGATTGGTTCTGCCAGTAGACCGCCAGGCCCTGGTGGAAGCAGGGGTTTGAGGAAGGGAGTAGGGGGCGGGGGCGGAGAGCTGGCAGGACCTGATGGGCTGTACCAGGCCCAGGAGGTCACAGAGGGGACGTGGGGATTCAGCGGGGGTGGGGAGGCTTCCTTGTGGCTCTTTTGTTTGTCCCGTCCCTGTTTTTAGGCCACTTACAGCACAGTCTGGGTGGGCATGTGGCAGAGGGAGCCACTCACGGTGGCTCAGAGAACAAGGAGATTGTGCAGAGGGGATGTGCTAAGGGCAGGGCGGGGCGGTCGGTGCAGCTCTCTCTGGAGAGAGCTCCTGGCGAGTGTGAGTGCCTCTGGCCACGCCTCCTTGCAACCCTCTCTGGGGCCATCCAAGGAAGAGTCTCCATCTTCCCCCCATGGAGTGGGCACTTCTCCCCTCCCTGAAGGCCCTGCTCACCACGTGGGCCTGCTCCTCGTCTGTGCGGTGGTGCAGGAGCCACCTTCCCTGGAGTGTCTGGCTCCTTCCAGCATCCCTGTCCTTGCTCTCCCGTTGGCTGGGAGGGGATGATGGGGTGGGGGTGGGGTGTTGGAGCAGGTATTCCAAGAGTCAAGTCCAAGGGCTCTTGAGCTCCATCAGCCCAGCATCCTGCAGAGAGACCCAGAGGAGGGGAGGGGCTCGCCTCCCTCCAAGAACCAAAGCAGAACTGAGCCTCCTCGTCTGTGCCTTCTGACTCCCAGCTCCGTGCCCCCCCATCATCGTGCCCTCCCGGTGCTCTGCATGGGGCGGCGGCCGGACCGTGGGTTCTGGTTCACACCCGTGCTTCTGTGATGACCTGGGGGCTGCGGGCCTCTGAGGTCGTGCAGTAAAGGAGGCAGGGTGAGGTGGGGGTCATGCCTTGACCTTGCCCCTTTTTTCTCACTTTCTAGGACTGGGTCAGCTCAACCCAGGGGCCCCCAGCACCCCCAGGCTGGCCCCCTCGCTGCTTCCCCGAGGTTGAACTGGGGTTGCCACAGGGCCCAAGCAGGAAGGTGTGGGTTCTCCTCTCCAAGGGGAAGCAGCTCCTCAGGAAACTGGGCTCGGGGAAGAAGGAGTGATGCTGTGGTCCCCAAGGCCCCAGCTGCGTGGGGAAGGCCCTGGACTCTGGTTCTCCCGAGTGAGTGCCATGGCGCTGGGACAGGACTCAGACTCACTGAAGGTCAGAGCTAGAGGAGCGGCTGGTCCTCCGGATGGGCATCGTCTTCTTACAGGCGGGGACCCTGAGCCCCTGCATGGGGACAAGTCCAGGGGCTGAGCACCTGGTCACAGAGCCGGCCGGGGACACGGACTTGTCCCTCCTGGTTCACCCATCTGCTCCTGGTGTCCACCGCGCTGTGCTAGTCCCCTCTTGGCCTCCACACGCCTGACTCGGGGAGATGCTATTCCCTCTGATGGCGCTGGCCATCCTCTTCATGTCTTCCCTCCCTCAAGGAAAGTTTGCACTGGATTCTGCTGAGCCCCCCATCCCGGGGGCGAGCTGTGTATATAGATGTACATACTCAGTGCCTCAGCCCAGCTTCCTCCCTCTCGCTTCCACCGCACAGGCCGGGGAAGGAGAAAGGCCAAGCCAAAGCGGGCCTGACCCCACCCCATAGCGCCCCTCCGCACCCCCCTGCCAGCCGCCCTCCTGGCCAAGACCCGGGGCCGGTGGGCAGAAAGCAGGAGTTGGGTTTGCCTTATTTTGCTCATCGGATTCAACTTCTCTTTTGCATCGTTTTCTTCTGGCCCCTGTTGGAGTCTGGGGGCTGGGGGAGAGGACAGATTTATGCAACTATTTTCATACATTCCCTGTTCAGAGTGGGGTGGGGGTTTGTCCCCCTTCCCCTTAGCACCCCTCTCCTCACACTCCGGCTGGGTGAGTGTCTCTGCATGTTTCCATTGCTGTGGTGGGAGGTTGTTTGAACTCCCACCCCCACCTTGGTCTCCAGGGGTGTGGAATGGTGGGGGCATTTGTTTAAAAAGACATTTTATTATAATAAAGTCTATTTTCACAAAACCCATGCTGGGCTCTACCTGGGATGAAGGACTCCTGAGGGGGGTGGCTATGGTGGACTTTGGACTCCACTTTAGAATTCAAAAGTTAACATCTGAGGGTGACCAGGGGTAAAACTAATGAACACCAAGAAGATCAAGCAGCTCTGGAATTGTTTTCTCAAGAAGGTTTGGGGGCTTCCTGACTTCCTGATCACTGGGTCAGGTGTTGAGAATTGGGTCAGGATCCTGGAGGAATGAAAGAGACCTGGGAAGGGGGTACAGAGACAGGGGGAGAGAAGGCACCAGTTTCAAGGTGGTGGACTGAACTGATTGCACACCACAATCTTGGTTTTCCTGGACCAAATTCATAGGAATAATAAAGGGAATAAAACCCAGCCAAACACCCAAATAAACAACATACATAGCTCCATTTGAAGAAGGGGGACTCCCACTAGATGAGAAACAGCAGGATTTCAGAAAAGACAGAATGCAGATGGGAGGACTTCCCCGGTGGTCCAGTGGCTAAGACTCCGAGCTCCCAATGCAGGGGGCCTGGGTTTGATCCCTGGTCAGAGAACAAGATCCCGCATGCCACAGCCAAGACTGGGCACAGCTAAATCAGTCACCCAGTCTTACAAGAAGAAAACAGATGAGAAATCACATTCAGAAATCTCAAAGCAGAACTCGGAAGACTTCTGCACAGCTCTGCGCCTAGAGGAGGCACCAACAGCCGAAGGACCACAGGGGC